ATAGAGGTGTATATGCGGGAAGGGTCACCCATATACCAAATACTATTATCTTGTTCCTATAATAGCACCCTCTAACTGGAAGCTGAGGGAGGCTATTTAAGCAAAGATTATCAGTTTGCTATAAGGTAATCAATAACTCAATAACACTGTATAAGCGACTCTAGATAAGGCTAGTATTAAGATACCTGACTGGTATCCCAAGCAAGATATAGGCAAGTCTAGATCCATTATATCAGTAGGCTGAGCTGCATTTGGAGTGCAACAGCTTACTATATCAACAGAAATAACTACTGATCATATAAGCTTATTCTACCTTGATTCATACTTAAACACGCATATATATAATAATCACAAGAGATTTAAAAAACTGACTCTGATTCAAGATAAGGAGGTTAAGGTTGGAGACACTTATACAGTAATTTAAGGTATAGGGATGATTACTATAGCAGTTAATGGATTATAAGGCTGAATGCTGATCAACCTACATGACGTCGCCTATTACCCCAGGTTTCACATGAATCTGGTTTCTTATCCTAGACTCAAAACTAAGGGGGTAAGATAAAATGATAAGATCAGATGGCTAACACTGAACAGCAAGCACTACATACAGGTATTTAAGTAAGATGGATGACCTATCATTGAACACCTAGAAGTTTCAATATCAACATCGCTAGCGATGGCTAGCAGCAAGCAGCCTCCATCCTCATCAGCATCAATCAACCAATGGCACATCTGGTTAGGATATCCTAGCCTTAAGGTACTCAAGCACCTTAAACAGCATACTAAGGGAGTTAAGATGACAGCACAGCCATCAAAGCTGGTCAATCAGCTATGTGCCGAATGCATCCAGGGACAATAGCAACGTCAGCAACAGCTAGCCCCAGTTGATCCCAGTACCTATCCCTTTGAAAAGGTCCACTTTGACCTTATTAAGATTAAGCAAGCATTTAATATTAACCAATAGGTACTGCATTTCTATTGCACCTATTCAGGTTTCCATATAGCATATACCCTATTATTAAAGAATAGATCACTTCTAGCATAAGTAATAGAATCATTTATAAAGCTAACACAAGCCTAGGGTTATACCATACGGCAACTATAATCAGATAATGAACAAGGGCTGAATCAACAATGGTTTAAGCTAATTCAATTAAATGATATCACATATCACCCATCAGCATTATATACGCCTGATCAAAATGGCACTACTAAATAATCTGGGGGGGTAATCACAATAATAGCTCGAAAGATATATCTTAAATCCAAACTACCAATCAGCTTATAGCCTTTCTTTATAGACCATATTATCTATATAGCGAATCGGCTACCAATCCAACACAGATAATAGCTCACACCATACGAGATGGTGCATGGCAAGCCACCTAACTTAACTGGCTATAAGACAATCGGTTCAAAGGCATACATACTAATCAAGAATAAGAAAGGAAGACCAAAACAGTACAAACTGCGCAGTAAGTCGATTATCAGCTATCTCCTAGGAGTCAAATCTATAAATATATATATTATATAGCTACCACAACTCAATCAAGTAATCTATATAAGAGATGTTATCATTAATAAGCAGCAACGCTACAAAGCTAATAAACAAATAAGTACTGATTCCTCAAACCTTCTATTAACCATAAATAAGATCAACCTCAGTAATAGCGAGATCGAAGAGGCAATCAGCTAAGAGTATGAAGTACAACTACAACCTAATCAACCTTAGGCTACCTCAACGCCTCCACTGGAACCGGAAGAGATTCAAGAGGAGCCTCCAGCAGAGGTACAGACTGAACCGCAAGCCTAAATATATATACCACCATCACTAGTAACTATAGTAACCAGTTAGCAACAATAACCTTAGCTAATAGTTATTAATACCCTTCGCAACCTTTAAATAAGCTTAGGTCATACAATCATGTAATTGAGCAAGGCCAAACAAGCTATAAGTGCTTAGGCAGTCAAGCGCTTAATTGATGAGTTAGATAATAGAGCTTATAAATATAGCTATTTACTTAAGTGTCTAAAGTTTGACTTAGGTATATAATAAGTATTTGCAGCCGCCTCAGCAATATTAATTAGGAAATATAGGACGCAGCTCAAGCCACCGCCAAAAAGCTGGCACTAAATACTTAAATATCCAGAAGTATAGGGCTTCATCACTGTAGTATAAGCCGAAATGGATCAACTATAATATAATGAAAGCTGGCAAGAAGTGCAAACACCTCAGGAACAGCAGGTGCTACTACTTAAATGGGTCTTTACCTATAAACTAGATCCTGAGGGCTATCTTCTAAAGCATAAGGCGAGGTTATACGTTTAAGGAGATCTACAATAGCCAACATATAATAATATATATATGGCCATAGGCGCATACTGAATACTGCGCATCCTGCTTGCAATCATTGCAGCCTTTAATCTTATATATAAAAAGGGGGATATCAAGAATGCCTTTCCTAAAGCTTGGCTTGATCAGCCAGTCTATACATATATAGCACCTGGCTATAGATTGAAAGGCATAGTCTATAAGCTACAGAAAGCACTATACAGACTTAAGATCTTACTAAAACTATGGTACACAGAGCTATCAACCAAGCTAAAGTCACTCAGATTTAAGCCATATCCAGATAAGATATATCTGTTCATTAACAAGGTTACCCAGATACTGATCTTTATATATATTAATAATATACTATTCATAGCTCATCCATTATACTGAGCTAGTCTTAATCAGCTACAGCGCAAGCTATATAATAAGTATGAGATCTAAGGGCTAGGACCAGCAATATTATTCCTTAATATTTGAATCATTCAAGATACCAAAGCAAAATCGATCTGGCTGCTACAAGACACCTATATTAAGAGAATTGCCTATAAGTTCAGACAGACCAAGTGCACCAAATCGCCATTATCCTCAACAGCTAAATTTGAGCCCTACGAGGCCCAAGCTAGCCCTAAATAAATAATGGCTTATCAGTAGTAAATTAGCTTAATCCTTTATACAGCAGTGATTAGCAGATTAGATATAGTATTTATAGCAAATATACTAGCACAATTTAGCCAGAATCCATCACCGCAGTATACTGAGGAGGCCAACCATATGATCATATACTTGAATAGCACCAAATATTTTATACTGAAGTACAGTAATCAGCCTAGTACCAATTAGGACAAGCTAAGCATATTCTAAGCATCAAGTGATACCTTATTTGCAGATGATCCGACCAATCAGCATTTAACACAAGGCTATATACTATCGCTATTCAATAGGCCAGTCACCTGGCAAGTAAGCAAGCAGAAGATAGTAGCTACATCAACTACTGAAGCCAAGCTATTATCACTCTCACTAGCTGCAAGAGAGGCTATAGGCCTTATTAGGTTATTTAACCAAATCAGGCTAGATATTAAGCAGTAACTGACTATCCTATATGATAATCAATAGATAGTTAAGCTGATTAATAGCGAAAGACCTCAGTTAACCACTAAGCTTAAGCATATCGACATCCACCATTACTGGCTTAGACAAGCAAGGCAATCAGGCATACTTAATATTGATTAGGTGCCAACAAGCTTAATGCCGGCGGATGGCCTTACCAAAAGACTTTTAGGATTAAAGCATGCAGAATTCATCAAAGCTATAGGAATAGAGGATACTGCTGATAAGCTTGAATCATGTAAGGGAACAACAGATTATAATAGTGATAGCCACAGTAATAATAATAACATATAGGTATAGAAAAATTAAAAGGCAGTCCAAGTAATTAATCTATAATAAAGCTATTATAGATCAAGATTACTAAGACTAAGGGGGTATATCGCAAATCACGTGAGCCTAACTCAGCAGATATTCTGGGGCTTATCTATAAGTTGCTTTAGGATTGAAACCTAACAACTAACAATCCAATCCATAATGCAATCAATGCAATATTTCGCACAATAATCTCTTCCTTTTTCCTTCTTGTACGCTGCACAACAGCGATTCCTTCGCATGGCTTAGCTTAGCTAGGCACTCACATGCAACACAGGGTGACCCCATAACAGTTTAATAGCTTCAGAGAGGCATATGGTCTCAAGGCATTTAGTCACTTGATAAAGGATACTAAAGCAGATAAATAAGAGATAATAGAATAAGTAAGATCTGGTAGTGTACCTTACCAGATCAGGGGTATATCAGTCTAAGCATATACTAAGTATCATATAATATAAGCAAACGCTGGCTAGATAAGAGAGGAGAGCCAGGGGTAGGGGACATGACAATAACTATACAATCCATCAGTTAAGATAGTATATAATGAACTAAGCAGGTTTATGATCTCACTTATACACCATTCATCATTCCCGTGATCTTCCGCACAGACATTGACAACCCAGCACCGACATGACTCATGACCCTATGAATCATGACATATCTGTCATTTACCCTTAGTAGCATCACACACAACTGATTCATGCGTATCGCATTTGCGCCTTGCAGCTTGCTCCTAGAAACTTGGAACACTACCACTCACAGTGTTGTTTACATGAGTACTTTGCATTTCGCTTGCTATGCTAGTAGAAACGTCTCTAGCGCTCTAGACTTAGAGGCACGTCTGTACGGTTCAATCGGACCCAGAAGACACATGTTTCGTCATCTCTTTCAGCAAGCTCAATTCAACAGGATGAAGAAGCAAACTATAGTGAATCAACAAAAGTGCTTGCCATACTGTGCACTTTCACCCAAGTCGATTAAATCTGACATTGCTCAAACATTTCCAGTCACGTTATCAAGCCACGAATCCTTAGCAAAACTCCATTTGGCTATTTGAAACTGTTCTCGCGTCCTATCTCAGCTGGTTTCCTCAAAGTTATCTGCGTAGCCTGTTCGCTGTAAAGTGCTTCATCAAAATGGGATCGCTCGACAACCAAACGATGCTTGCCGCTCAGTATAATAAGGTGACTCCACTATCCTGGGACCATCCGTCTGTTCGAAAGCCAGAGCCAACAGAATAACCTACAGATTACAAACCAAATCGAGGTCAATCGCATACCAATACCTTGTTGTCAAGACAACGAGGTCTTAATCAAGACGAAATGTGCATCACTATGCCATTCTGACCTGGTTAGTCTTTTCCTCCATCTCGACTGGCTTTGAAAATGCAGCTTGAACTCTGATTTTTCGCAGATGCTTTTCTGGGGCCATACTGCGGAAAAGCCTCCGACAGATACTATCACCATTGGCCACGAGAACACTGGCCATGTTGTTGCTGTCGGAAAGAATGTTAAAAATATGAAGATAGGTGACCCAGTAGGCTGCCTTGGTTGCAGCTATGCTTGCTGTAAGTTGTCGAACCCATGCTTACTTTATGTGCGACACCCTGAAATACCGCAGACGAGTGCGAGGGCTGTCAAGTGCACAATCTGTTTTGCGAGAAGGGTACCGGACGGCTGCACGGCTTCACCTGCCCTGGCCATTTTGCAGAGTACTCTGTAGCGGATAGCCGGAATGTCATGGTTCTGCCCAAGGGAATGGACATGATAGCAGCTGCACCACTGTTCTGCGCGGGCATAACAGGTAAGACGTGACCTAATTCATCCCATATCAGCTCATCGACTAAGTCGCTTTGAAGCATACCATGCCGTGCGCGGTTGCGATCTCGACCCCGGTCAGTGGATCGCCATAATCGGTTGTGGAGGGCTTGGTCATCTTGGTATTCCATCATTCTACACATCTGAATCCATGATGATCGCTAATATTGTGGCTATAGCGATTCAGTACGCAAAGGCGATGGGATTGAAAACCATTGGAATTGACATTTCGAACGCGCAATTGGAAGCGATCAAAGAACTTGGAGCTGACGTGGTTGTCAACAGCATGGAGGAACCGGATTTTGAGGCTAAAATCAAGACTATTACCAGTGGTGGCTGCCATGCCGCTGCCGTCTTCAGTGCTTCTAACTCAGCATATGAGAACGCGCCGAAAACTTTGAGGTACGAAGTCCAAGAAACGTTGAGGAACTCTAGTAAGGAAAGAGGACTGAGAAGTCACAATTAGGATCAATGGCCTACTCATGGTTGTAGGGATACCCCAACGACCATTGTCGATCAGCGCTTTAGATATTTTACTTGGAAAATACCGCATCGCCGGAAGGAGTAGTGGCATTCCTCAAAACATGGCAGAGGCAATTGAATTTAGTCATGAGAATGGAATAAAGTCGCATATAACGACATTTAATGACATACACGACATTCACAAGGTGGTGGAACTGATGAATTCAGGGAAGGCGGCTGGAAGATTTGGAATTGTGTTTGAGTAGCAGGTTGCCAACCACGAAACTTTGTGAAGGCAGTGAATTGAGATTTTTGCTCGCAGGCTTTACTTCTTGCAGATTTTTTTAAGAAAATACTTCATAACGATGAAGATTCTGAAGCCGAGAGCATCCATACTAGTTCATAACCTCGAAGAGGCTTGCCAACAATTCCGACACAATTGGTGTAGTCGAGTATATGGTTCAGCGGACCATTACGTGAGTTTACCTCATCACTGGGTGTAGCCCACATTACCTTTCAAAGGTGCAGCAGCGTATACCTGTTGAAATCGAGCCTCATTTACCATCAATATCTTCATTCAAAATTTTGGTAAATTTACTGAGTCAGTTCTTGTTCTTCACATGACTGAAGGGAATAGGTCTCAAATCACCATGCCAAATAAGGCAAGTTTCTTAAATGGCTGGGCGAGATGATATGCTCGTCTCTTCGCGTGCAGCCCCTCCAGGGGGTGCCAAAAAGTAGTCTAATTTGTGCATATAGCCATGCAGAGACTTATTTAAAAGTAAGAAAGGAGACGTCTTCCGCCAAGTGATATGTGAATTTGAATACGCACGGTTTCATTCTGGATCATTGTACCAGTGAAACCTGATACCAGCCGCTGTATTGCATTTTGCCATACTTGTCAAATCTCTGCCTACAAGACAGAAAGAGAAATAAGATGTCATCCGGATTGTTGCGTGGAAAACTACTGCGTTGCGCTATTGCTACGAGTGCGGGAAGCTGTTACCTTTTGTTTGGATATGATCAGGTACATTATCTTGCATGCATATGTGACCGTTCATGGCTAAACTTTGGAGCAGGGAGTGCTCGGCGGACTTGTAACTCAACCTAGTTTTCTCGATGCCATTGGCAATCCAAGCTCAAGCTTTCTGGGCACCATTGTGGCCTTGTACAATATCGGGTGCTTAGCCGGCTGTATCTTCGCCGCACTTTTTGGCAATAGTTTGGGTCGCAGGAAGACTATCATGCTTGGATGCAGTATCATGATCGTCGGTGGAGTTATACAAACTGCCACCTATGGCGCCGCTCAGCTCATTGTCGGACGTTTAGTGTCTGGTCTAGGCAACGGTACAGTACTTCTGGCCTTTATATGAATCTTCTCCCAAACTCATAAAGTGTGAATCCACAGGTATGAATACATCGACCATTCCAATTTACGTATCCGAATGCTCCCCTGCGAAGTATCGAGGTCGATCTGTTGCAATTCAGCTCTCTATTGTTATTGTAGGTTCTTTGACCTCAGACCTCCTTCCGAGGCGTTAAACTGACAAGTAATCAGTTTGGCACCGTTATAGCTTATTGGCTAGATTATGGTACTATCAAGAACTTATCTGGCGATGTATGAGCGTCACACATACTCTGCTTTCGCTTTACTCACAAAATTAGGTCGTATGGAGATTTCCAATCGCATTCCAGAACGTATTTGCACTCTTTACCATATTTACAATACCGTTTCTGCCCGAGACCCCAAGGTTTGTGTGACGGGTGTAGACATAGAAAGTTTCGAAATCTGACTCGCAATCTAGATGGCTCTACTCTCACGGTAAGAAGGAGGAAGCAGTGAGCGTTCTGGCAAGACTCCAAAATACCTCTGAAGATGATCCCAATGTGCAAAGTGTAGAAGAAGAGATGGCCAAAGCGTTACAGCTCGAAGAGAACTCCGTCAAATTCTCGTTCAAAAACCTGCTGAACGACAAAACTCCGGTGAAGAACACAAGAAGACTGGTTCTCTGCTTTATGATTCAATTTTGGCAACAGTTTACCGGAATCAACGTGATCGCTTTTTATGTCACAATAGTCCTCGAAAAAAATGTCGGTCTGGCCCGAGAAACTAGCAGTCTGGTCGCTGGCTGCATCCAGATTGCTTTCTGGATGGGTACACTTCCTCCAATCTTTTTGTTGGACAAGATTGGTCGTCTACCAGTCCTTATAATCGGCTCTATAGCTTTGCTAACAGCTATGATTATATTCACAACTGGAATAGCAATTAACTCTAAAGCTACTGCAAATATAGCACTGGCTATGCTGTTTATTTACGAAATCTCATTTGGAATGTCATGGAACGCAATACCATGGCTTTACGCACCAGAAATTACACCACTACAGCTACGACATATAGGATCAGCTATAGCAACTTTCTCTGAGTGGCTGTGGACATTTGTAAGTACATATACTTTACTATTAGTAGAAGATATAAAGGCTTATATATACCTAGGTTATCGCGCAAATCACACCGCATGCTATTGAAAATGCAGGCTGGAAATTCTATCTTCTCTTTAGTATTATGATCGCCCTTAGTATACCTTTTAGTTACTTTTTCTTTCCAGAGGTCAGTTATATATTATTCTAATAACTTAAAGAAGGCCTTACTAATTAAATAGAATTTAGACCAGCGGCAAAACTCTGGAGGAAATAGACTACATTTTTGCCGGCGAAAAATGCGATCAAGAAAATGGGAAGGTTACTCCTAGCTTCGAACTCGATCACAAAAAGCTGAACATAGTTCAGGACTGAGCAAATACTGAAGGGGAGTAGCTGGTGAACAGAGATTATAGAGGGGAAAACTAGGCTGTGGAGGGAGAGAGCGGACAGTTCTGTTCCTCATCAATGCTTTGACAAAGATCATAGATCATAAAGAAAGGTTTCATCGAAACGGTGTCTACACGAGAGGCTATTACGGTAGACTGCGATTCTGCGATTTGCCGGGAAATGAAGAATCAGTTTTGAAACCGATGTTCATCTTTGTCATCATACTCGACTTTGACCCGTGATTCTAGTTCTAAGCCTTGAGGTTTCGGATGGTTTCGAGTGGACAGGAGATGACCCAGGCGGTGGGTGGCCATACCAATCCAGCACAACATCCGGGAAGCCACACGTGTAAAAAAGTAGATGTGCTGTAATACAACGCATTACAATATCAACAACGTGATCTGACGACCCCTGCTCGTGGTCTGGCCGCCAGCCAAAATACCACGCTCGTTGTGCCCCATCCGCATCCAGGCACAGCTGTTCAGCGGCGACGCACATCGCCATCGTCCTTACACAACAGCGCGTGAGGCGCGTGAGCACCGCATATTGTTGACAGCCATGCGAGAATCCGTTTCACGGTTGACAGGTGGCTCGATGTGATCGATTCATCCGCACCGTCTGGTGCAATAGCCATGCTCCTCAGTACAGCTTTCGTGAATTCTCTCGTGCGTCGACCCCAAGGTAGAGCCGATCGTATGCAGATACTGATCTGTGCAGGCACAAAACTACCTCTTCGCGCACCTGAATAGGATCGGCGAGCTTGGTACTCAGATACTTCAGCGCCACGTTTCTCGAGCTGCTGAGCTGGTCTGGCCATCGGCGGCGCATTGTTCCTGGCCAAGGTCAGCTCTGGAGCGATGAGCGTGTCGAACTGTCCGGCACCACTACATAAGTTCTATATGAGGCAAAACAAAGCTGATCTCTGTTGTGCTGTTCTTGTCTATTGTCCCCCTTCTTCTTATCTCCCTTATTCTCCTCTTCTTATATAATACGACACCTAAAGTTCTAGCTCTCTTGTCACATGATGCCCTTCAGGGTATGAGCCATTTTCCCCAGTACAATCGCATATTAATATAACCACCCTATATAAGAGTATCAGTAAGACGCGCCCTAATTCGAGTACTCAGGATTTTACCCCACAGTCTGCACTACGGGCAACCGGTAAGGCGTTGAAGGCAGCCAGCTCTACTCTATCCGTATACTCATTAACACCATGGAATTAAAATAGATATATATAAGAGAATATTAACTTAACTACTATGTATAGCTTAAAACCTTATTACAGACTCTGGCCACTAAAATACTCATCACCTATAATAGTGCCTGATAGGGATATTTAATATTTAGTAGTTATATCAACCATATCACGCGTCTGTTAGATAAGGCTCTCATTGCCTGTTCGACAGTAGAAAACTATGGAATAATAGAGACCTTCCACAAGATTAACACCATAAGTGAAACCACTTATCTTAAATCCAGGCATACTAATTTTAGGAAAGACACTATCAACAAAAAAGGTGGTTCAGTCTTAGTTACTGTTACGGAGTAACATGGGAATCACGTGAGGAAGCGATCATGTTGATCATTCATGATCAAGGTGATCGGCTTGCATGAGTGAAGGATTGCCATTCGCTTAAGGGAAACTAATGAATCAAGAATGCAGTCTGTAATCAGTCTAATCATAAATAATCAGGATAATCACCAGGTCTCCTATATCTATAAAAATATCTTATCCCTACCTCTAGATCAACTCTCTATAATTCAACTGCCTAGTATAGATAGTAGTTAGTTCGAATATACTCCTATACTCTTAAAGCTCAGACTATTCTAAATTATAAATATAACTATCTTATTATATTTCCTTCTATAATAAGCTCTAGTTATATATTATTCCTTAGCTCTAGGAAGCTCATCCCTTCCGAAGTGGTTCACATTAGTGAAGCTAGTCGGTATTGGGAAGGTGTTCCTAACAGTTACTTACTTATCCAGCTTCAAACATAAGATCAATAGTCTTAATAATGATAGCTGAATTGTTTTAAGGATACTTCTCTAGTGGCTATATTAAGCTTATCAGAAGTTTATAGGTATGGGATAGCCTAAAGCTGAAAGGATTAAAATTATTATTTTAAGACTTGTCTTTAATTACACCAGTAAAGTTTACCTCTAGTGTAGTATAAGCAAGTCTAACAAATTTATGCATAGCAGTTATAATCCGTTCCGTCTGGTTAAGGTCTGCTTCTGTATATTGCTGTATATTGCTATACCAATTTTAGTGAATTTACGCTTACCGGGAGATCATTACCTACTATAAGACTAAAGAATAATAAATCTTATTATACTGGGGAAAATGGTTTATACTCTAAAGGGCATCATGTGATAAGGGAGCTAGAGCCTTAGGTATTATATGATATAGAAGGGATATATAAGAAGAGGAGAATAAGGAGATAAGAAAAAGGGGAGCATAAGATAAGATTAGAATAACTAAGACCAGCTTTCCTTTACCTTATATAGAACTTTGCTTTACTTTGCCCTGCTTTACCTTACTTTACTTTACCTTACCTTTACTTTACTTCCCCTATTTATTTTATCTTATTATACCCTTATCCTAACTACCTTATCTTACTCCTAAGCTTCTTTACATTTCCCATCTGTAGGAGGCTTCTCTCTCTCTCTCTTGATTCCTCACCCTCAGGAAGTCCTTTACATCGAGTGTCTACCCACTGAAGTGGAGGTCAGCCTAAAACCCTTTCATTATATCCAGATTCCTCTTATCTGTCTTGTTAATTCAGGTTTACGCTAGCTACCCTCAGCCTAGTAATCCAATATATAGTTAAGAAAATGCTGTATTTATACCTTTAGCCTCTCATTATCCAAAGTCTATACTAGAGGCATAATACTATTAAACTAATAAGAAGCAGATTTATTAAGCTTGCTATGCTTATAATCTCTATTAAGCTAAGTAGACTACTGAATATAGTGATAGAAATTAAAGAGATGGCTGGCCAGGCTATCTGCAGAAAGTTGAAGTTGATCTTAAAGCCATCTGTTATGAAGTAACACGTGAGTAGTTATGTGAATATTATTCTGATTATTTTGATCATTTTCTTGAAAATGAGCAGAATGAGCGCATTAACCAATGGTTAAGGGCTAGGGTAATGCTGATTGGTGAAAGTGATTATTTCGCTTATTCTGAGTAGAATAAGTAAGGCAATAAGAACATTAAATTTGGGTCTATAAAAACATCCTGTTCCTACCTTTATTACAGCTCTCCGTAATTCAACTGTCTAGTTTATCTAGTAGTTAGTTTGAATATATTCTTATACTCTTAAAGCTTATATTATTCTAAGTTATAAACATAACTATCTTATTATATTCCTTCCATAATAAGCTCTGGTTATATCTTATTCCTTTGCTCTAGGAAGCTAAACCCTTCCGAAGTGGCTTGGGTTAGCGAAGCTAGTCGGTACTGGGAAAGTATTCCTAACACCATCCTAAAGCTTTAATAAAGCTAAATAGAAAATATTTAAATCTAAAAAGCTTAAATACACTATTAAGTCCGGTTCTATTTCTTTAAGCAGTTCCACCTATTACTAAAAGACTAATAATAATAATTAGTATATACCTAAGTATTAGAATCAAATATTAAGTTACCCACTATTTTTATATCTCCTCCTTATCCTAATAAATAAGCAAGATTAACGCGCATGCCGAATGCTACACTTTTTTAACAAGGAGTATGATGCCAATAAGCTCTTCCCTAGGTTCATAGCTGATAGTAAGGTCGCATCCCCAGATTAGTGGGAACTTAGTGGCTCACGCCCATGGAGTATGCTCCGGAGCTACCTCCGCCATTTTATTTATATGATAATCCAGCAATTTTTAAGCTCTACATTAGAATTAGAAAGCAGGACTGAAAATAATAGATAATCAATACTGCCTATCCGGGTATGTCATATATTTATTCTCCATAGCATAGATATGGGTCTTATAAGATTAATCCATGCTTTCATATCCTCATTATGATTATCTAACTGTGTATTAGGTGATACAACTATTCACGTACCTGATTCTTCCTCTAATCCGGATATTATACTTCAATCATCCCCGTTGATGCGCATTGGAAGGACACTTGGAGATCAGCAGAGCCGACATATACCCTGTATATGAGCTTGACTCCTTATAATCTACCCTACTTTGTTTATTCCCTTGCAAAATAACCCAATTCCTATATAAATCATTACCTACATCGTTCAAATGATGCCAGAAGTGGCGTAATGGAGGAAATGAGCGGAGAGTATAGGGATATATTAATTTATTATTGGAATATTGGTGAGAACTGAAGCTAATTTTAGCCAAGGAGCGCATAAGAATTACTACTGTTAATAATTTCCAGGGCGATGAGGCGATTCCTGTTTTCTCCGCCGGCGTATGGCAGTATTTTAAAGAATGTTAGGTTCTTGAATATAATAAACTAGTTTATTTTTTTCCTCTTTTTTGGCTATAGAGAAGAATTTCATTCTTCATCTTTAGAAATCTTATGAAAGTGGTATTGTTATTCTTATCCTAGATTAGGTTCTGGGCCTTAAATAAGAGCTTCACTAGTGATGATCCTTTTCAGTGGAATAGTGAATTCGGTTATAGATCTCCCTAGCTTGGGTTGTACAACGAAGAACAAAATAATTTGAGCATAATTTGAGCAATCTATAGATCTAAACTATGTTATAACGGTTGGAACGAGTTGATCATTTACAGGATTTGCAATGGCGAATAAAATAAGAGCTGCTTGTCTATTTATTTTCTCCACCTTCGGCTGTTAGACGTAAGTTGCATTGTGTTTAGGGTCGTTGACATGACAAATGTCATCATCCATGCGCGATCTCGGATCGAAGAAACACCGATACTCCCTGTTCCGAAATCAAGACTGTCTAAAGCCAGAGATTGTGCTAGAGAACTCATGAAGAAGCTTAAAATAATCTCACATCAATCACGTTCACCTCTTATGACAGGATTTGTCCACTATCTCAAAAAATGTCGAGCTAAACATTATGCACCACTTATGATCGAATGCTTTCTCTCTTAGCGTTGCTATAAAACTGTCAGAACCCTTTTCCATGACTCTAATTCACCGTCATTGTATTAAAAAGCTATAACAAGGCTTTTTGATTGACAAAGAAGCACCGCTCAGTCAAGTCATCGGCGGCGGTGATCTGTTCGAAATAACTAAGGAAGAATCGAAGTGAAGATCTATGGTGATTTCAATTTATCAAGGTCCATAAAGGACAATTATAGTGTCGCGGAAAGATAAGTTAATATATTGCCATACTTAAGCCCTTTCTCAGGTTATCCTTCTCGACTACTGATCCGCATTTATACCGTGTTCAGGGCCAGTATTGCACTGAGTAAAAACTTCCGAGAAAAGACTTAGGAAAACAGAAATTCCACCAGCTCCAACCATTATCTATGAGTCAACTTATCGATTTCGCGCTTGTTGATATACAAAACGAAACATGTCTGTGCTTATTTTTAATCATCTCCATGACACGTTTTTTTCGTCACAACCTCTAAGTATGTTCCAACGTTCGACCTTGCATACATCTCATGCGACGGAGGACCACGGGGCGACGCGATATGGGCAGTCCAGATTTATCAGAACAACTTTTGCGCTGAGCAAAACTAATGTTCGAGTTGCTTTTCGAGAAGCAAAAGATCTGAAATCCAAAATGAGTTATTCTCAATTTGTCCGAAGTCCCTATTGCCGCTTATGGTAGAATGTCGTTCAAACGTAGTATTTTTCCGAGCAGGCGTCTTTGAAAGATGCTAAATCCAGATTTCGCTTAATTATATCCTACAATGTTTCTGCATGACTCATTCGCAATCGAAAAATCCATTCTACTAACCTAAGCCTAGCAATAATTCTCATCTATCAGAGTCTTATTTCTTTAAAATCTGCGTGCACCCGATGATATGACACGGCCCGAATAGATGACAAAAGAAAGAGGAGGGATTCAAATCTGATCGTCCCTCAAGCCTATATCGCTTGCTGGACCATTCCTGTTTGTCCCTGGAGAGTCCTCTGAAGTTGGTGGAACGATATGGAACTTGAGCCACATCTTACGCAGCTCTTCATAAACAATCAAGCAAGTTTTCCCAGAAAGTTTTATGATGCACAATCGCTAATAGCTAGTCGTAGTATGTCAATTCCCGTAGTAAAAAAACGTATGGGCGCTTTAGCTACGCAAGACTACGACTTACTGGATCCACAGCCTTTCGATATATAACCCCGCAACTGGTGATCTTTTAAGCGATCAGATACCGATATCTGGAGAAGATGATGTTGACGAAGCTGTCAGAGCAGCGAATGAAGCCTTTGCGCACGATGCGCCTTGGCGGACAATGACGAATGCCCAACGTCAACAGATTCTGTTCAAATTCGCTGACTTACTTGAGGCAAACCAAAAGCGCCTTGCATATTTGACCCGGCTGACCCTAGGGGCTCCATACAATCCATTTGGAAAGGCAGAGATAGCTACGGCAATCGGTTGCTTTAGATGTGCGCCCACTCACATCACCATGTCAGACCGTTGCTAATGAGCTACAAAGATTACGCTGGCTGGGTAGACAAGTATGCAGGTCAGACCTTTCCAGCTGACGACGGCATCTATAAGATTGTCCGCAACGAGCCACTCGGTGTGGTCGCTGGGTAACTAACGTCTACTTTTAAAACGCAAGTACTGACTAATCACAATCCAGTATCATTCCTTGGAATGGCCCGCTTGCTTCCGTTGGATTAAAAGCTGCACCTGCATTGGCGACAGGAAATGTATTTATCTTGAAGCCGAGCGAAAAGACGCCACTGATGGCCGCAGAGCTTGGGAAGTTGGTCTTGGATGCAGGATTTCCGCCTGGTGTCTTTCAGATTCTTCCCGGAGATGGAAGCACTGGTGCTCTGCTTGCTGCCCACATGAAAGTAGCAAAGGTCAGCTTTACAGGAAGCATTCAGACGGGCAAAAATGTTCAGGTATTAGCGGCGAAAAGCAATCTCAAGAGGGTTACTTTGGAACTTGGAGGAAAGAGTCCCGCAATAGTGTTCAACGACGCAAATTTGGACAATGCGATTAAGTGGTGCGGCTACTCCGGTCTCTTATCTTTCGCACTGGGATAGTTACTGACCAGGTGTAAGGACTGTCAATGCTCTCACCACTAACAGCGGACAGATCTGCTTCGCGGCGACAAAGCTGTTCGTGCAGGACGGAATCTATGAGAAATTCCTTGCAGGATACATGAAAAGCCTTATGGAGAAGAAAGACCTGATTGGAGATCCGGAGAAAGAAGGAACCGAGATAGGTCCTGTCGTAGATAAAGCACAATACGACCGAATCATGGGCATCATTTCCACCGCTACCGAGCAGAAAGAGGGATCCTTGTTGCAAGGCGGCAAGGCGATTGGCACAAAGGTACTCCCGATACAATCTCGAGCGCTCAAGCTTGGATAATAACTTCGAAGATAGGGCTACTACATTGAACCGACGGTTTTTGCCGACACAAAAGAAGGTTCAACAATCTACAGCGAGGAGATCTTTGGACCGGTGGTTGTTGTGAACAAATTCTCCGACGAAGATGAGATTATCAGCTGCGCGAATAATAGCAGATACGGGTTGATGGCCGGTGTCTTCACACAGGACATTCAGCGAGCGCTGAGGATCAGCTCAGCTGTTGATTCTGGGGTGGTCGGCGTCAATTGTATTAGCACGATCAGCCAGTCATGTCCATTTGGCGGAACGAAGGAGAGCGGTCTCGGGCGTGAAATGGGAGAGCATGCTCTGCGAGCCTACACTGAGCCTAAGACAGTCTTGGTGAATTTGAACTACTAGCATTTAGTCCATGGTGGTTGGGGGTCAGTATCATTAAATTGCCTTACGTAGAATATATCACATGGATTTGTTCATTGGATCGGACTTTCCCATGTTCCGGAACGTTGGCTTCTCTAACGTAGCCCTCACGTTGTCGTTCGAGTACGGAGGAGCCTCGTGAAAGAAGTATTCCTTCGGTGCAACTTCTACAACCATGCCATTCATCGATTCATCAAAAAGCATCATTTCCACAACTTTGACGATTTGAGATACTTCAATCCACTCTATTTTGAAGACGTCCCACTCCTCTGGACGAAACAGATTAGTCCGTACATTGCCAGGACATAGCGTGTTTACTCTGATGCCGTCATCATCAAAGAAATAACCACAAATTGCACGTGCGAAGCCTACAACGCCATGCTTCGCAGCTGTGTAGATGGGGCAAAATCGGACTGGGTAGATGCCTGCGATACTGGCATTCAGGATAAGGCAGGATTGGCCGCGGGTCTTGTTCCTTCGCATGTACTGTCGGGCAAGATAGCTAGTGTTGATTACGGACTTCAGATTTATGTCAATGTTTCTGTCGAGCTCTGGCGGTTGAGAAGCAAGGGCCTGTTTGTTAGCTGCGGCGTAGAAGTCTTGTTTCTCTCCAATGCCAGCATTTGCAAAAACGAAGTTGATCTCTCCTTTCTCCCGGAAGACGCCGTCAAACATCGACCTGAGGGACGCGTAGTCGCTAACGTTCGTACAGGAGTATGAGCCTGAAAGCTCTCGCGCTGCTCGTTCGGCGAGATCTCTGTTTAAGTCGGCGATGTGAACGTGCCAACCCTTGTTTGCGAGAGACGTCGCCACAGCAAGACCCATTCCGGATGCTGCGCGCTGTCAGTACTTGGGATCGTAAGCGATTTTGAAAGTAGAATTTGCACACCTCCACCTGTAATGACTGCCACTTGAGCCATGCTGCGTTGCTGTCTATGGCCTTCGAAATTGTTTACGCACTAGAGGTTGAAGTGTCTAAGGCTCCAGTCACGGCCGTGGGACAGTGGATTATCAGCCCACATAAGGCTTTCATCAGCTTTGAGCCATTTGTCCTCAGGTTGCCTTGTCCGTAATCTGCCAGCTCTCACTACCTTATTCAGTTCAATAGCTGTCCTCAGTCGCCGGTGAGTCCCAGGCCATGGGTAGAACCAAGGCAGAGACGCCGCAAAGTTACGGTTCATAGTCACTGTGTAAAAGTTTGCGCATGAGTAGCGTGTCATCAGAGATTGAACCCAAGGGAATGGGAGGGGGAATGAGGCATTACTCATGACACTTCCACACATGTGCAAGGACCCTGAACCGTCAGTATCATGCCTTGAAATGACGTCTTGAAATATTACAACAGCTTAGCCCAGGGATCTTGGGATCGTAATATTTGCGTATCGTTTCCCATAGTATAGCATAATATATTTGGACATTGGCAATGCTGATTCACACAAAAATGGACAAGATTGTTAAATTCACATAATTTATGTAAGACAGTAAAATGTTCAAAAATACTAGAGACACAGTATCAATACCGAACTCGAAGACAGGAATTCAAGAATGTATGTGATCCACTCTATTGTGTTTGGTAAATTCGAAAAATAAAGCCCACTCCTGTTCTTTGGCGCGATAAGTTACAGTACGATAGAACTAGTCTACAGTACTGACGACAAAGTCTTCCCCGCCCCGGATACTAGCGCGAGGAAGATGCCATGATAAAAAGCCACCGTCTCTTATATATTGGCTCTGCGGGGTCCCGCTGAGCGATGGCCACGATACCGACGGCCCTTCGGCGCATGCCACCAAAATCGAAGGTAGGAGATTCGAATCTGTTCTTCTCAGGCGAAACGAGATAGAAAGATGACTTGGGACAAAATCGATCACAAGTTCACGTTCCCCGAGCTGAGCTACGGCGCGGAATCGAATTATCAGCCTTGCATCAAGGTGTCTGTTTTCTTCAAGAAGATTGATTCCATCGACTACGAGACCTTTTTCGGTCACTGGAGGACGGTTCATGCGGACTTGGCCGTGGCCACGCAAGCGTTCAAAGACCACATCGTGCGATATGCGCAGGTACGTCTAAGCTGTGTTTACCCTATGTGGCACATTTGAAATGCACGCTGAGCAGTTCGTTTGTGTGCAGCATCATCAGACACCTGAGATGAAGGAACGGGCCAGGTCGTTGGGAGAAAATTGCCTTGACTACGATGGATGTGCTCAGTTGTGGGTCAGATCGTGGGACGACTGGCTGGCGTTCTACAATAGCAAAGAGTACGCTGCAGCCCTGAGCGAGGATTGCCAGCGTTTCATGGCTTTACCCATGACTTACATGGTTGGGTACGAGATCTTGATTGTCGGCAGTGCGGCAGCTGAAGTTGGAGGAAAGGACGGCATGAAGATCAGCAGAAGTAGCTGAGCATCGCTTGTAGCCGTATATCAACCTTCAAAGTCCTCGTAAATTTCAACAATATGGACCAAGTAAGATTTAAAGGAGTTGCCTTTGTCATGCACGCGAACGTTGAGGTCAAGTTCCATGATCAAAGTATACGAAGATAGTTTCAAGTTTCTCCGCCGTCAATCAAAACTGAGATGTATGGAATCGAATGTGTGAGGAAAATCTGGCACAAAGCTGCAAGAGTCATGATGCGATGTCATGACATTTCCGCCGTGAAAAACATTGACTCATTTCTCTTTTCCACTTGCGAAGGAGTCACTAGGAGCTTGCCACAATCGCAAGCACTCCGCAATTTGACTTCAGGAACTAACAAGCTCCCGTCCCAACATTGGGACCCACTTCCCCAGACGTGATCCCGTTGAAGCTGGGGTAAAGTTAACAGTTGCTACATACCATCCACACGAGTGATTAAAGCTCGTTGGTTTCCCTTGTCTTCCAACCCATCAACGAAGTCCTTCATTCGTAACAAGGTGTCCTGGATTTGACCTAATCACTGTTCCATAAAAACATAAAAATGGGTATCCGTCGTCCCACGTTCAGATCAAAAACGCTCCAGTGGCTAATGACCATATGCTGCTCTACGGTATGGCTACCAGGCCCTTATTCCTCCTGGACGTATCTCTGGCATTGAATCTTTTGTAACGCGTCACAGTCATTTTGTCTTTACGGTTATGACGCCGGTGTCTTGGGGGGGATCCAAGAGACCAAGCAATTCCATCATGCGCTTGGGGTACGTTTTCTTCTCCTGATCTGCTCAGATTTGATGTTGATAAACGGGAGCAGAACCCGACCGGGACCTACGTTATTCCTATGATAGCATCAGCATACACTCTCGCCGCTGCTGTGTGTTCGTTGTTTTGCTCGGTCATGGGTCTGCCTCTTGGTCGTCGCAATTGTATTCTGCTCGGAAACCTGTGTGTTGTCATCGGCGGTAGTCTACAGGCTTCAGCATGGTCTGTCCCCCAGATAATTGTTGGTCGCGTTGTCTGCGTAAGTCTGTTGCACACTTCTCGGGTGACTTGGTGAACTAATCAACACCAGGGATTTGGTATTGGCGTATGTCTTTGCTTTATTTCAGTCTCGCTAAATGTTCTTAACACTTACGTTTGGGGATCAGTTTATTTCTTGCACAATCCCCACATATCAGGCTGAGATGAGTACCGAGATTACTCAAAGAGGTCCGGATGTTGCGGTTACTTGTGTCTGGCTAGTCTCAGGAGCAGCCATTGCTTACTGGATTGATTTTGGCTTTACTCGGATGACGAACCAGATTTCCTGGGTGGGTCCTTGCTTTACAGTTTCTTCGCATTGTTCTCGCACTGGTAACTGACACATTTGACAGAGATTTCCAATCGCAATCCAATGCCTCTTTGCTTTAGTTGCTGGAACATGTATGTTCCTCCTGCCAGATACGCCTCGATGGTATTACGCCAAGGGCCTCATCGATGAGGGCGACAGGACAGTTTGCAATCTTTTCGACGCGAACATCGACGATTCTCGTGTGCAACAGATGAAACAGTCTATCCTTGCCAGCATACAACTTGAAGAGCAAGACGAACATGGCTTCCGGATCCTTGATCTGTTTTGGGACACGAGTGATCTTAGGGTTGGACGTCGCATTCGCATATCCTTTTTGATACTTGCTCTTCAGCAAATGATGGGTATATTGTCCACAAAAGGTAGTCAGATTACCAAAATGCTGATGATTCACCGTAGGAATCAATCTCTCCGTTTATTACAGCACGGTCATCTTTTCACAACTCGGTCTCTCACTGTTCATGGCACAACTTCTCGCTGCCATCATGAACACTCTGTTCGCGGCTGGTACCGTCCCACTGGTTTTTACAATTGAACGTGTCGGACGACGAGCAGTCATGATGTGGTCGGCTGTTGTTCTAACTATCTGCATGGTCATATTTGTTGCAATGATAGGTCTACCAAAACCCACAGTTGCGACCCAATGGATAGCAGTGGGAGCCATATTTGTGTATAATACAGTTTTTGGTTATGGTTGGATTGGCGTATGCTGGCTTTACGGTCCTGAAGTCAGTCTATTTGTTGTCATTCACTACATCACTATATCGCTGCTAACTGGTTTCATAGATTGCCCCTCTCAAGCTTCGCCATGCCGGGGCCGCAGCTGGAGCCTTTGGAGAGTGGCTTTTTTCATTCATTACTGTCTTTGCCGGGGGTATTGCGCTGCAAAATGTTGGATGGAAGATCTGGCTCTGGATGGCCCTCTCCTGTGCCGTCGCCGTTCCTTTCATATACTTCATGTGTCCCGAGGTAAGCGATATCAAACTCTCGAAGGTCCTTGTTACAGGTAAATCTAACATATCCTTTTCAAAGACCACTGGAAAGACTCTTGAAGAAATCGACCTCATTTTCGCAAAGGATAATATCAAACGAAGTGCACTTGCCACTGAAGTTAGTATGCACTATCATGAGTCAGAGAAAGGGGAGGCGATTACACTAGAGCATGTCTAAACTTTCTGATCGAGATGGTGCAACATAAACGGTTGTTGTAGTCTCAATCTGGAATTTAAATCCTGATGTGCAGTGAAGACAATGTCTTCGCACAGGCATTTAATTACCTTCTTGTGACATCGATAACCTGCTTTCTCGGAGACAAATTCAGCACATCAGATCAAGGCGCCCTGAATCTGCAAATGATATTTTTATTTCTTTTTTCTTTTTTCAAATGACACACATAAAAAGCGCTATGACAACGTATCCTCGTAAAGTATGGCAGAAGAACTAATTTCACATCGAACAAAGACGATTCTCGCATTCAACTGCAGTTTCAAAAAATGCTCGCCTAACAGGATCAATTCGAATCGAGCGCTCTATCCTGCAAAGGTCCTCTTTCCGTACCAAAAAAGATGTCCAAGAAAGCTGATCCACAACAAGCCCTCACCGTCTGGTGTGCCGTGCGTTTATTTTGAACAAAAGTGGCCGACTGGTCTTACAACATGGCATATCCAAGCTCCACACTCGATTTCGAGGGGCTCTCGTCTTGGGGTTTTTGTCTGACAAACTCTTGATGCTGGGTACGGAACTTGAATCCTCGAAGCTCTGAATCCTTGAAGTAGAAAAGTGATTTGGTGCAAATCTTCATGTCAGGCGACTGGTGCTGACTTATGATTCTTTTTAATCGTAGCTCTTTCCTCTGTATATAGCCAATGATAACTAATTATGACCCAAAACATGACAAATTCAGCCATTTCATCCTCTCCTATAATATCTTTGTTTTGATTGCTATAGTTTTATTATATATAAGTATTAAATAAAAGACATCACTGGTCAAACCAAAGCTGGAAACAAAGAGTGTCAGAACGAAGCTAGTGAGGGGGCTGTCAAACCGACTGAATTATCAGGCTCGCTGATGATCGCGTAAAATGCTCTGGATCGTATCGTGACGAATACAGTTAATTCGGCCTCCATTTCGAAAGTTCACCTCTTTCAAATACTAATAATAGTGCATGATACGCGTTATGATCATAGTCCAAAGAGCTCGTTTACATCTTCTGTCAGGATAATAGCTGATGAACAAAAACAACGCGTCGAGGTCGTCTCCTAATCCAAAATCTGAGCCTCAGTAAATCTCTGTCTTTTCTAGAATAAGGGAAGCACTATTATTATAGTCATAAATATATTTCCAGAACAATGATCATAAAACAAAGGCAGAGCCTATAGATCTTCAAATATCCCTGGAGAAGTGACTTTGTTACCAGAATTGACCAAGACAACTTCTTTGGTGGGGGGGGGGGGGGGGGAATAGATCTGCAGGATCATAATAGGTCGAAATAAAGCTTTAGAATAAAAAAAAAGATAAATAAAAAAGAAGATATTTATTCTACCGGGAATAATTAGCATGTGTGCGTAAAGTTTGCGCATAAAAGACGCTGGTATATACTAGGAGTAAGCTCCCAGACTCCCTGTCCAGGTCTATCAGCATTTTAAACGCTCTGGTATTATCTAAAGACTTAAGCAGAAACATAAGTATTAGAGTATGGTAACCTCCGCTCTTATCAATCTATAGTAGGAACTTTAATTAGCGGCCGCTTACAAGGTAAACCTAGAACGTATGAAGTTCAATACTAAGGTAATTTTAATACTCTGAATATATAATCAGGCCTTCTGTTATATATTTATAATAGGCTTATAAGCGTTTTAAGGCATTCAAACGCCGGTACAGTTGGCTCAGGCATGATTAAAGAGCATCACAGCTGACATTCACCAATTCATAAGTGGGAGGATCTCGAAGTGCTACACAGTGATGCCCGTGGATTGGATTTGGCTGGATTTTCGATGTGATCCAAATCCACTATAGATGAACCTAATCCAAATCCATAAAATGGCGAAATCTATCCAAATCTAATCCATCCATAGGGTAGAATAGTGGCAAAAGTCATAATAAATAACATAATAGTTGTGAGGAACGGAGTAGGAACATACGCACGGTATAGCTGCGCTCAGGCCGCGGGTCACATGCTCCAGGGGGAAGCAGTATTTAAGCTACATATAGTATCCACCTTAGTTTTACTCCTTAGTCATTAGTTTTAATACTAATCCATATTTATTGCTCCCTATCCTAATATTATGCTTATATCCACCCCTTATAATAGTAGTAATATTCACCTAATTTCTACTGCAGAACATTAGCTATATCTATAGCATATATTAAAGATTATACCTCTAATCCTCTACTAAATAATATATACTATAAAAGTTGTCATCGCCCTAATTACATTCTTTAGATTTATTATTATCTGAATCATCTTCAATAGCATCCTCCTCCTTCTCCTATAGTATTATAAGGGGCGAATATAAGTATGATATCAGGATAGGGAGTAATAAGTATGAATTAGTATTAAGACTAATGATTAAGGAGTAAAACTAAGGTGGATACTATATATAACTTAAATACTGCTTCCCCCTGGAGCATGTGACCCGCGGCCTGAGCGCAGCTATACCGTGCGTATATTCCTACTTCATTCCTTATAACTATATTAGTATAAGCACGTTTTATATCATGTCGCTTTACCATTATCAGGATAATTAGAGAATCATAAATAAATTTGATTAATAAGAGGCTAATATATATATAGTTTGTTAGTATATGCAGTACCAATGCAACACTAAAATCAGGCCTATCACCAACTATGGATGGATCATATTTAGATAGATCACCCCCCCTAAATCCAATCCAAATTTTGGGCCTCTAGGCACCAATCCATGGCCGATCCAGAGGGGTTCGATCCAAATCCATGAAATCTTGATCCAATCCACGGGCATCACTGGTGCTACAGCAGGACGGTAATAGGGCTATATAAGCATAAGCAAGTCGTTAATCTCAGTGTTAAACATATCAACATAGCCAGGTTATAGATAGGATAATGGATATAGTGACAGCCAGGTAAAGGACAGCCGTATGGAACAAGTGAAGTGGTGCATCTGTTCTTTAGTTTCTTTAACACCTATGGTGCATTTTACGATCAAAATTACCACGTCTTTGCCTATTTCACTTTCCAGATTATTTTCCACTTGCATTCATACACTATGAGCGTATCGAAGTCATTCATATATACTTTGGTAAAGTTTCTACGATAGCCGGACATGATTTCGAGCTCATTATTTGTTCACTCAAGCTAGCTAACATACGAATGCTTTCCATTCGAACTTGGAGATAATTACAATACTTGGACTTGGAAGATGCTATTTGAGGTAAGACTAGGGATGGCATGTTTTATACGCCGCTCAAGTACAATGCAGATGCAAGTCGAGAGCTGATTATAGAGTCGTATGAAATAAAGGGATAACTTTACATTACAAATTCAGAAAAGTATCTATATACTCAGTAAGGATGGGGTCAATGTACGTAATTACCCATTGTCCACTTGTCTAAGAACTAGTCTCACGACTGTGTATATATGCAGAAGCGAAAACTGTACATGCTCTTGGCATGGTTTGAGACAATGCGTGGCGACATATAGTCGAAAGTACAACTGTTCAGTTCGTTCTCCAATCATATTTAAAATAAAACATAAACTGCAGCAGCAGCGATAGCTGCACCTGCCATGCCGTTTTGAGTAGCTGCATTTACAGTCGCTAGAACTGGGCTATATGTTTTAGAACCGGTTCCTGCTGGCCAAACTGGCGAAGCGACTGTGTTCGCAGTCGGGTACGGAGCCACTGGCGCAGCTGGGGAAGACCATGACGGTGAAGAGGACGCCGACCATGCTGGTGAAGCAGCAGCAGACCAGGCTGAGGACGCAGCAGACCAAACTGGAGCATATGGAGAAGAAGCAGCGGCTTTTCCAGGCCAAATATCTGGTGACGTGGACCAGGATGGGCTCGCAACTGGCCAGACATCGGATGCGGAAGGGGATGGCGTGGGCCAAGAGTCAGTAGAGGCAGACCAGGTAGGAGAGCGGGTGGCTACAATCGTGATAGTGCGTGTACTTGTCACTACAACCCATTGCTCATCCACAACCTTGGTATAAGTATTCACCGCAGTCTCGGTCCACTATTTTCGCATCAGTCTATATGCTAGACTGCGAAAGCGCTTCACGTGTTGCTTACCTTGTTGTATTCAGCGGCTGACCAGGTTGGCTTAGGCCATACGGGAGAAGTCGTATCCGTCCATACGGTGCTAGTTGTTGAAGACTCTTCGCACTTTTCCGCTGTCAGCATTTCTACTATGACGTAACTGTCGGACTTGGATTACATACGTCTTCAGAGGAGGTGGAAGTCCAGGTTGGTTGGGGCCACGATTCTCCAGAGGGCGTTACTTTGCCGTACTACGATTTGTTAGCTTCTAACAGCTTTCGGTATATGCCTTGACTTACACCATTAGCGTCAGCGTCCCACGTTGGATCAGACCACGCTGGTGACGAAGAACTCGATGATTTCACTGATCCGTACGATGGCCACGTTGGATCCGCCTTTGTTGAAGGGTAGCTACTGTATGCATTATAGCCATAGCTTGGATCAACTGCGGACGACCAAACGGGTGAAGCTGATGCGGTTGGAGTGGAGTCGCCGCCATACCAGGCGACAGTAGAGGAAACCTCGCTGCCGTAGCTAGGATCTACTTCATCGCTGTGAGAGTCCGCTGCGCTACCATAACCCGAATTAGTGGTACTTCCATAGCTCGGATCTGCCGATGACGACCAAGTGGGAGCAGCAATCTCGCTTGATTTATCTCCATAGCTGTTGTCCGTGTCTCCGTAAGTCGGGTCCGCAGTTGTACCATAGCCTGGATCAGATTGAGATGGCCAGGAAGGGGAAGTGTTTGACTCTACATCATACGAGGAGTCTGAGGTGGCCGGGTCGTAGTTGTAGCTAGCATAAGCAGACGCCACAAGGGCAAGCGCAGCGAAAGAAGCCTTCATATCGAAATACGTTGTAATGAAAGAAAATCAAATGAGTGTGATGCCAAGAGCAGGCCGTAAGGAGTGAGCCAGTCCGGACGGATTTTGAGCGCGGGAATCAGAGCTTGAATTCTGCTGAGGGAAAGAAAGGAACGATACAAGACGAAGGGCATACTCATTACATATACTCTGTGGTAGAAAGAATATTAAACTGCTCGTATCCATCGTTTCATGTCGATTTTGTGGCTTTGAGGGGTAGCGCAGCGGTGCACCGGCAACGTTCTCATCATTATTCACTTTCTCTCGTTGGTACGGAGTGGTTTGATTATCATCTCTCAGCTTCGTGCGTGACCTAATCTGGACTTGAAGGCTGAGAGCAGGCGCGCATCGTTGGGTCCCACAGGGTTGCGCTTTTCTTGAAGAACTCTAGCATCAAATAGAGCGATCCAATGGCAAGCAGCACAGAGACCATTGTGAGCGGGTGGAAATGATCTTATCGATACCATTGTGCAGCCTTTCCAAATTGGTGTTGAGAGTCTGTTGGCGGGCTTTGCGGCTTGAAAAAGGGGGGAATGGCAGCGCGACAGAATCCGTGCACTCGCAGGGCAACTGTCAAAATTCCTTCGAGACGAAGCAAAATCTGTTTGTGAGTCTGGAGGAGTTCTATATGTAATGAGGATTTGCAATCCCAGAAGAGAGTCCAATTATCCCTGCACATGTGCCTCGTTGATCCATGTGAGGAACTGAGATCTGGGAGCGCTGATCATGATGCCGATGCAGATGGAAATCGGCGGTTCTACAGCGCCGAAATTACGGCCACATCCGTGAATAGCACACGTAGTGCGAAATGCCGGAATAGCCCCAGAACATGAGCTTCTGATTCGAAATTGTGTTGTCCTTGGCGCATTTCTTGTTATTGACGATCCGAGTACGGGGCCTTCTCACTTCCCAAGTGCTGCCAGTAAAATAGACGTACAAAATGTTATCGCTCTCTGGCGCTAGAACAAACAAGTTAAACTACGGAGTATAACTTGCCACATTCTCGACAAGTATGAGCTACTACGAGCAGAACAGTCCTACTAACAGCCAACATTCAAACACATGCATATCTGTTTTCCGACGAGGAAGATGCAATGGAGGCAATTTGTAAAGCTGGTGCATCAAAAAATTGCGTAGTTCTGTAGTTTCAGGGAGATTTGTTATGACTATCTATTCTTTAAATCGGCTTGAAACAAGTCTTTAGAATGGTGAAAAATCGGCAGTATTGCAGTTTTGGCCGCCCTGCACATGAATGTTCGTAGCTTCGAAGGCTATGGTAATTATCAGATCTTAAAGAGAGCGGTGATAGAATTTCAACTGTAATTTTCGTGGATGAGATGTTCATAGACAAGTGAAATAACTTAACACATCATCGAATCGACACGTGACATAAGTCCGAATTTACTGCCTGACAATATCAATAGGATTTCAGTGGAATTTGTCGCCCCACTAGAGTCCTAAAGGGTTCTTCAGATTAAGTGATTGGCGGAAATTTAGCCGATGTACTCTTCCTTTATTAGAACGGTGATTCAGCTCTCTTGGTTAAAATCTACATGTTTACGCTATCTTAGCATCAAACTTAAAGCTTGATACTTGAGGCGGTAAGTGTAGCTTAACCTTCAAACATTGATCGAATCTCTGACTCAACTCTAGTGAAGTCCGACGTTAAGTACAGCTATCTAAATGCTAGGGATAATTTCATTGTCGCTTTTGGCAATTTATTGCTGCGAGCAGAGAGCTTCAATTCGCGCCAACGAATCTTTAGTCAAAGTGGTGGGGCGATGCTCCATGCGGAGTTTCCTCATCCCCGGATTTCTTTCTTGGCACTTCGGCTAACGATCTGCGAGACATAGATATCGACCTAAGGTATCCGTCTCCGAATAGCAAAGGCCTTCAAACATGGATGAAAAGAAAAAAATAAGATCCATTGACTTTCTGACCCCCGAACAACTTCGAAGAAAACGAGAAAGCGATCGCAATAATGCCAGGCTAGCGCGAGACCAGAAACGAGCTTATATCCAGAACCTTGAGCTTCGGGTGCGGCACCTTGAGCAGCTCAACTATGAGCTCGAGCAAAAGCTTGCCGCTTGCCATTGTCGCGACGTTCGTTATTCTCTTGCTTCTGCTTTGCCTTCAAACAGAACGAAGAAGGCGAGAATGACGGCTTTGGAGGACGGCAATTGGCAACGTCCTTTGACTTCGGAAGAAACGATCGCTTCAACAGTGACGGGGGACTGGACTGGTCAAGTGTTCGATGCAGAGCTTCTGCAACTTCTTGCAAACCCTAGCCTTGGTGGGTGAACTATGACTACGCTAAAAGCGCTTCTAACAAGTCACACTCCTCAGATGACTCAAAAGACATCGTGAACCAGGTAACTGCAGGCGATCCCGCTTCCATGCAACTTGAGCCTGTATCCATCGTCCACTGTGAAATTCCAGAACTTGCAGACGGCGATTCCACCTCCCTGTCCAGTTGTCCAGTCTGGTGTACAACCCCAAAACATATCGCTCCGACGTGCCGACTAGATCAAGTTGTTGCCGATCTTATTCAGAGCCGTAGATCTTATGAACTCACCGGAGGAAATATTCCAGAATTCCAAGAGCGTCCGTTCCCTAGCATACCGAGTTTACTCAATCCTATCAAGGAGGCAGACAGAAGTCCAGTTACAAGCAGTATCGTTACAAATATTATACGCGTCATGACTGTCCCGGCAGTGGAATCGAACTTGCCGGAGCAAATTGCTATTTTATATTTCATGAGCTCCGTTATTCGCTGGCAAATTTCTCCTACCGAGGCCAACTACAACAGCATGCCTGCCTGGCTTAGACCAACTCCGTCTCAAATCGCCGTGCCACACCCAATTTGGCTTGATCTTATTGTTTGGCCAAATGCCCGTGAGCGTTTATGCCGCGACTCACGATATTACAGCCAAAATGCAATAATGACGGAGATCAGCAATGAATCCATCTCCGTGAATTGGCCCTATGGGCCGTCGAATGTTCTTATGCAAGAAAATGGGTCCGACGTTGTGCTCAATCCAGCTTTCGCGGCTCATATCAAGAATCTAGACAATTGGTCACTAGGGCCTCGCATCTTGGAAGTGTGCGTAGTTGCTCATGGTCTTTACTTTTCGATGCGCTAATCGGCAGATTTAGATTTCCAGAATTAGCTAATGACATTCGAATCAAACATAAATCAAAGTAATTTATTGCATGTCCGACGCTCGTTATTTAATCCCAATTGATGTAGGTCACGTATCCGCTTTTCTTCTCACCAATGACATGTTCACTTCAACTTTTCAGAGGGTTCTGACCTAGTCCTCATTTAAAATATACCGTAGAGGGGTTGGCGAGCTCTTGAAAAGGATTTTCTAACATAGCTGTCCCAGTAAACAATCTCTAACTTCCAAGAAAATCGTTTGGACCATATTTTCCTTCCGTCGTTCAGTTGTAAATTTTACCATTTCCAATAAATGACTCCGTAAACGTATCGATAATGTGATCATCTATATCATCAACGCTATGATCCATGCATAGGGATAAGCAGACTACTGATCATGCGCTACACATCTAATTCACGTGTTTTCCACCGCGAGACAACGTCTTGCCACTGCAATGAACTATAATATGGTGCACATCTTAAATTGCTATTGATGATTTTTAAATCATTTTTTAAGCTTAATGTCCGTGACCTGGACATGGTCCGCTGGTTCACTTTTGTATAGAGTCTCTTCCGTTCTTTTTTTCAATTGGAAGAGACGAAGGACGACAGTCCACAATTGATGCCTGCTTTGCCAGACAGGCATGCACCAAATCAGAAATGCTGCGACCCAAGACCACAAGAACACAATAACTGTCCAGCCAGTAAAGAAACCACGGGAGAATACATAACCACTACCGTAAAGAGAAAACGGAATAATAACCAAAAAAATGAGGCAGAGGATCGCTGAAACCCACTTCGCTCGAGCCCCAGCTGCTCGTAATGCTATTGGATCCCAGTCGTGGCCCAAGTCGCTCACGTCGCCATGCTCGTAGACCACATCACCTGCTCGCGGCTCAATTGAATCCATGCGGAATAAACGATCCCAATCATATGGTTCTGCCATGAAAGGCCTCATGGAGACCCATATGATCGTTGGCACACATAAACTTGTGGCACATCCCGCAAACATGCTCCAGTTCTCGTAAGTCGAATTGATATCGACAACACCAAAAATACCCTTTGATACTCCTAGCCATGCTGCAAGTCCGGTGATGGTCCCTGTTGGCGCCGCAATAGTCATATAGCGTGAAGTTACGTGTGAATTGGTGATGGCCAAAGTAATGGGCACAACCGCAGCGCCGAGGACTACACCGACAAATTCGAGGATCCAGCCCATACTGATTCCTGACGCATTCAGCGCAGTAGAGAATGACGCTGAAAAGATTGAGAAAAATATTAGACTGGCGTGTGATACGACTTTAAGCTTCTTGTCGTCAGCTTTAGGGTTTATGTAAGGCTGATAAATGTCAAAAGTAACAATGGATGCATGTGCGACGATTTCGGCGGAAAATGAAGAAGTGACCGCCATAAAAACCATTGAAATGACAGCAACTGCACCTCCCTTCCCCATCACAGCCTGAGCGGCGAGCGGAAGTATCAGAGCATTGTTGATTTGATACGCGGTGATGCCGCCTTCCACTGGCCAGTAGGATGAGTCTTGCAGTGCCACCGCGACAAAGGACATCGTGGCGCATAAACCAAGAGGAATCGCAAACCATGCGAAGCCTCCGTACATATAGCCCTTCACAACCGCGAAAGGCTCCCCAGCAATGGCCTTCTGGCCATACTATTTTTAAGTCAGGTTTGCTTTGTTGAACATTCTGAATGGATACGCGAAACCTACTGATGGATCTACGAAGACAGAGCCAAATCCAGACACAAGAATGACAGCGGCGAGCAAAACGGCCTGGCTTGATTCCATTGTAAGATATTCTCCATTCTTGGTACCGACCGCGGGATGGTCAACGGCGGCTGTTTGTAAAAGTTCCCATAGTTTCCCTGGAGAGCCAAGTACAGGAACACTACTTGCTGGACTCATCACGGAAAACATGGTGATAAGGAGAATAACGAAAATTATAACCGTGCTAGCACACTTTTAGCGTTTGCGTCGACCTTTGGAAAGAGTTTTCATACTGAATATAATCAGATAGAAAGGTAGACTTTAGCCCGCCGAGATAAGTGTAGATGACAACCCCAGTAGGGATAAGATAATTCATGGCTATTGTATTAGCGCCTGTAGTGACGTTAAATGCTGCCGATCCGCCAAGTAACAGTGCTGCTGTGATAAGGATCTGTACAGATACTCCGTAAACAAAGAATATGATGTGTGTCACCGTTCCGAATCGAATCCGCAAGGCATGCAGGATAGTGTCAGCACGAGGTGCGCGTCGCTTCAGCTCGATTGCAATGACTGCATATAGCACAATCTGGCATGTAGCACCACTGACGAACCACCACAATCCCGGGAAACCAAATATATACGTCAATCTAACAGAATTTAAAATTGTAGCGGCGTAACACCCTTCTGCAGTCAGCAAGTAGTCGCCTATTGCCCATAATTTAATACGTACAAGATGAAACGACAGCCGAGGCAACCAGTCCAGTTTTGACTGTTTTTTTCGCAGTCATCAGCATGGTTGTATCCTATTAATCTCATGTGAGTACGACCATAACTTCAACTTGGGACCACACTCGTACGGAGGATTCATGAAGATATTTACGCGATATCCACGTGATAAGGTTCATCGTCAAAGCAAATACAATTCCAAAGCCTGTATATATTAGTATTTAAATGAATGTAAAGGAAAACTTGACAAACCAAGTACGATACCGTAGGCAACGCCTTGACTCAACGGGGGACTAAGCACCGCCTCCATATTGCTCGGTCTCCAGTACAGATCTGCCCACAAATTTGAATGACTATTAGTCTTTGTTCTTGATCGAATTAAGAAATGAGAAGATTCTGTCTACTGGCGTTAATCGCTCAGGAAAGACTGTATGAACAATTGAGATCTTGAACAGTGGTGCATTGAGCAGTCATGCTTGGCTGCTTGTAAGCCAGCTCTTAAGTGATCTCACTGATGGCCATTTCTCTACTGATAGGCAATGGTCAAGCCGAAGTTATCATGATACGCCACTTTACACGACTATGGCTTCGGGGGATGCCTTTTCGGGTTATGCAATCTTTCCCGTCGGAATCCAGGTTCCGACTATCCCTGGTTCGACATCAAGAACCGGGGACAATTCTTCAACGCTCTATTTGAATCACAAGTCAACTAACCCTAACCCTAGGTTTAATAAGAAAAATTTGGAGACATTAGCTTAGTATCGTTGTTGCATGTTACGCGTAGCTATCTATGCGGACAGTATTACTAGTTACGAAGTATCATGTGTATATGCAGGAATTTCGAACAAAATTTGTGAGGAATGATCATTTAATCATATTTCTAGAGGGTTAGAAACTAGAAGCAGCGTTCTGAGTGTGCTGTTAATTCTCTCCTAATAATCAAGTCCAACGACTTTTGACATAATGTCTAACATGGCGACAACTTTCTCTTCTTCAAGACGGCGAGCAATAATTGTGAGACCTATAAGTGCATTTTCATGGTTTTGTGGCCTTCCATCTTTGAAAATTTTCAACTTCAGAAAAATGTTGCTTATTCAGAGCGGGGGTTAAGCTTACAATACTCCATAAGTTTTTGATCCAAATTTGAGATAGGTTTCCACGAGGATGGGATAACATCTTTCTCAAGGTCTACTTTTGTGACTGGAAATACTCCAGTGGACAGATCAAGCAGAGGCGACAGCACGCCCCAGTGATGAGGGTACCCACCATCGTGTTGTATCGCAGGAAATGGCGTACTCGGCATAATGAGACCATCAATAGGTCTTCCTGTGCCGCTTATCTCCTTTGTTTTCTCCCAACGGTCGAGCCACCTTTGCGCCAACATCGTTCTTGCATGTTGCGTCTGCCACGTTTCGGATACAGTTTGTTTTCTGACCTAAAGCATACGATGGAGGTCAGATTCTCAGGATATGAGTAGAAATAACTGTATCAAATTATGAAGAGAGGTACTTACATTTGCAGTCTTTCCAAGCCAAGATTCAAGTTGCGGATGAAGTGGTTCTCCGGAAGCGTTGGTATCCCGTTGAAACTCCTCGCCCGCATCTGCAGACCACATTTTATGTATGAGCTTTACAGCCTCCATATGCTCGTGAGGAATAAACTCAATGATATTATGACCAGCCCGTTCAAGTTTTTCTTTGGTGATTTCCATGGCTCTACGTAGCGGCGGGCTTGGTGTAACGGTTCCATCTCCCATTGCAAAGCCGAAACAAAGCTTATCCGGAAGTTTCTCCTCGTCCTCCCTCCACGGAAGAGGAAGTATTTCGGGGTCCACGAGCCAAGGCTTTTGGTCTATAATAGTTTTCATGAACAGTCGTATGTCGGCTACCGAATGACACATGGGTCCTGCTGAACTCCTGACCGCTTCCTGACCCACGTATGTATTTGCCACGTTCATGTAGCTTACGCGACCTTGAGATGGTCTGAGTGCATACAAGCCAGTAAAACTTGATGGATGGCGGATGGAGCCACCAATGTCTGTACCCACACCTAGAAGGCTTCCACGAAAGCAGAGAAGCGCAGACTCTCCCCCAGACGACCCTCCTGACGTAAGTTCCCGGTTATATGGGTGTGATGTGCGCCCGAATATGTTGTTAACAGATTCACCCATCATAAGTGTTGCGGGTACGTTTGTTTTCACATAAGGTATAGCACCGGCGTTGATGAGTTGCGAAACCAAGGTCGAGTCTGATCGGGCTGGTTTTCCAATATACGAGACATAGCCAATTGTCGAATCAACACCTTTAATATTGAACTGATCTTTCAGACTTATCGGTACCCCATGTAATGGACCGATTACCTTGCCCTCACGTTTGTAATACTCATCTAGTTCCTTGGCACGTGCCATGGCAGAATCAAAGAGTATTTCTGTAAGGCAATTGACAAGCTGCTGAGCAATTGCCGCTCTCTTGCAGAGTGCCCTAGTCACTTCAAAGGCAGACCACTCACCTTTAGCAATCTTGATGGCAACTTCAGAGGCCGAGCTATCCGTGATAACGAGCTCTTGAGTCGAAAACAATCCACTGTCATATGGAAATCTGTGAACGTCCTTCGTCTCTTTGGCCGGCAGTAATTCAGGTGGTATTATCCATTCTTCTGGTATACTGTTGTCGCGAAAGCTACGCTTACGTTCAGCGATGACCTTCCAGTTTTTGTCGTTCTTCGCAGCCATAACGAAAAAAGTTCAGTTAGATTTGCCTGAATAGTTCTGCAAAGAAGATGAATTATCAAACAATCTAGAAAATCGAGTCACTCATGGAACAGAAGAAGCTATTTGTCCTATCTGGCAGAGGTGCGCGACCTTGTCTTCGGTCACTATCTTGTAACCGGAAGGATGATAGCCCATCTTCGGAAGCCTTACGCCGGCGAATTTGGCTCGACCTCCCGACATCGGGTCTAGAGCAAGCGGCTGGCTCTTAATCTCAAACGTTTTGACCAGGAATTGCAACGCCTCCTCCTAGTACCTTTTTTCAAGCCGGAGAACTTGTCTCCCATCTTGTCCCAGCGATAAGAACAAGTCTGTTGCGTCCACCTGGCCTCAATATTCAGAGTTTCAGGACAAATGGCCATTTGTACTCACGACGATCAAACCCACTGCGCTCCAAGAAATGTCGCATTTCAGAACCACCTAAACTACTTTTTGCGAGAAGCTTCACGCAGAGTACAAATGCCCAAATTTCTGCTTGGAGCTTCTCCTACTTGTTTTCATGTTTTGATTGTCCACAATCATGTCCCGTGTATTGATCAGTGACGAGAAGCAGAGCAATGCTTGATTGCACCAAGATTTCGGCTGCAATCCCAATGCAGAACATCCAAAGTCTAGAGACCTATTTGAAACCAGTGGCGACTCAGAATCTACATTGAATGCTCTTTAGGAGCGCCTATCGAGTAGGAAAGTACACTCAGGCGTCTTTTTTTGCATGGACAAGGAGATCATGGAGCAGCACAGTATGCGCATAACGACAATGTTTGACCATGAATTCGACCTCCCTCTTGTTTTTATTGAACACCCAAATCAGTCCTTTGGCGAGGTGGAACTAGCTGTCAATTTTGATGCAGAAACTACTTGATGATAGCATTGCAAACGCTTGGATCGATTAGGTTTCATATTGACGGTTGAAATCGATTTTATACAATCATAAATCAACGTTGTTATCGAGAGAATGGCTCATCTAGCTTACAATAAAGATGTTCATGTCGAAGTCGCAAGCCCTTCCTGTATGAGCAAAGGCATCTAAAAGCTGTAGACAAATTCTAGGTGTATTTCAATTACTTCAGTCTGGCATTCATTGTGTTTTTTGCTCTAAAACAGCATTGTCCATACCATTAAACTTCACCAGACTAAATTATATAGCGATTTGTGGCTTAAACACATCCCAATCATGAACGAGAACCCCTCCGAGCAAGTAGTTTGATCGCTGACAAAACTCAAAAATCATGCGGTGTTATTTCCTGTAAATGCGCTCTGGACGGATCCAAATCTGAAGACATGAAATCAGCTGTGGCGCTAGTGCGAACGAAGCAGTGGGTCGAATCAACCAGAAAACAATAAACTTACCCTTGCGGACAGCTTGAACCGAGCGCGACACTTCCACTTCTCATGTAGCAGATCTTCGCTTTAGCGCAAGCAGAGGAGGTACAATTCGGACTTTTCACACTCATCTTGCCCTGATACATGTTTTGCACGCTCACCAGAGTATGATTTCTTTCCATCGCTTCGGTGACTTTGTGCCAGAAGGTGGCGTTTAGTGGAGCATCAGATGGCCAACCTGCTTGTGAGCCATAGGTATCACGAGTGCTGTATTCGAATTTGAATGTTGGACCAGTATTCGAGAGTGAAGGGAAGGAGCTAACGTTTGAATAGAACGTATATGCTTCGTAGATGTTGAAGTCTCCCGTATCAACTTCGTACAGACGGAATCCAGAATTCAAATTGGTCAATGGTGTTACCGATGGTCTGGAATCAAGTCAGGGGCCATAAGTACAAAAAAGACGATATCGAAAATCAGAACCTTCATGTAATCTCGTACAGTGAATTTAAAACGAGGACGTCAGGTGATTGCATCAAGAGCGTAATATCAGGACTGGGGAATACTCACCCGATCCAGCCAGTAGACAGTGCAGTATCAGCTCTTTGTAGAGTACCATTATTGGCGTAATAAATCATAAAATGGTCCTCATGAGTATGACCGAAGAACACATTCGCAATCACGTGGGGTGAATAACGATCCACGATCTGGTAGAAGAGGTTCGTCGGGTTTGGAAGTGGATTAGTTCCATCCCAACCTGAGAGAACATGTCCCATGATCCAAACACGTTCTCCTGCATCCTCAGCCGCCTGAAGTTCGTCGATCATGAACTTGAACATTCCGCTGTTATCCGGATTTGTCGTGTTGATGAAGTTCAAGAAGTTTGACTTGTAGAAGAAATCTGCCGACATGCTCAATATGTAGATTGAAGTCCTCCTTAGACATATATCTTACCTGTATTGAATGTGATTATTCGAAGGCCGTAGTGATTCTTGATCGAATAAGCACCATAATGAGTCTTGGCACTTGCGACTGCCTGATCATCAATCCAACCTTCGTGTTTCCATAGTCCAGCAACGTGGTCGTAGTTCCAGCTCTGTTGTTGGCCAAGTGGCCCAGGAAGGCTGTGCGGGGCGTCTATAGCCTCTGGGTTGCTGTCATGGTTTCCTAGCGCTGCAAAGACAGGTCCAGTAAGGTAAGACTTGAACATTCCGTAGATGCTTGTCTCAGCGTACTCAGTATATGCTCGCGAAAGCTCGGACTGAGGATCGTGGCTGACGAGGTCTCCGGTGTAGATTGTCCATCCAAGAGGGTTTTCCGAATCTGTTCCTGTGAGTGGGCCTACTGCTTGTAGCGCCGCAAGACCGAGATCATATGGCGTGTCGCATTTGAAAGTGCCATACAACGGAGCAGGTTGAAGAATACCACCGGTCGGATTCGGGTTGTTCGCTCTGCAGCACAGATTGGATGAGCAATTACCTTCGGAGCCAACGGAGTATCTTGGATCGAGATGGAAATCAGACATGTGCAGAACTTTAACGCGCTTCCCACTTGGCTTGGGGGCGGTACAGTTCTTTGGTTTTGGCTTGGGAAACAGCTTTGATGTGTCCAATGGAGATGTTTTTGGAGCCTTGCAAAAGCTGCCGATAGACGAGCATATGTAGTCACCATCAAGGCCGTCGAGGTCAGCATATGCAAGGATCTGCGTCCAAATGGCACCAAAGTTGGTGGCGGCGAAGTCCTCCGCACATGTCACGTTTGAGTGAAGCTTGAACTTTGAACAGAGGCTGACCATGGCATCAGGAACCAAGGAAGGGACTGCAAGAGCTGCAGGCTTTGCAGCTGCTAGGGCATTTTTGCAGATGGTGCAGTTGCTCGAGCCACCTGGCAAATATGTTTTAGCAAGCCGGAAAGTTCAACTGCGGTAATACCTTTTAGACGAGAGAGAAGGAGAGATGACGAACATACCAGCTTGGAGTATGGCCGTGACATTCTTAACCACTGCGTCAAGATAACTTGTTGCTGAGGCAGCGCTGAGCGAGACCGTAGGGCTTGGATAGAAGACCGGATCGGGATCTTCGTCGGGGATGGTATCGGGGTTGGTCAAATTTGCAGGATATGTAATGTTCAATACGGGATCATACAACGCAGGCTGCGGCTGTTGTGTAGGCTTGGCGGGAAGAAAGTAGTAGCTGGAGAAGGCGCTTGTTGGGAATCCATACGGCGCAACGTAGGCTGACGTCCCCGGCAACTGAGCGCTTGATCCTGCAGACGCTGACTGCGGGCCGAGACCAAGCAGTAGATGCACAAGTACCATGGCTGCCACTGCGGCGCTGAGAAGATATAGGAGGATGGATGCAGACCTGGGTTGGCTTGAACTTTGGCTTGACTGCTGTCGTTCGATGTTCAGCAACGTCTCGTCCAAACGAGAGCTTCGGGCGCTGGAGTTGCTTTGTCCTGGCCTGTTAGCACGCAGACTCGCGAGAAGAGCATCGCGGGCACCGGCTAGGCTATGGATGAGATTTATAAAGTAGCGCATAGTGCCTGTGCATCCACATCATCGTCTGCATCATGGCCATGTCCTGGTACAGGCCGTCCCGTCAAGCTGATTCCGACGTCGGTTTGTGCCTCCACGAGCTGGGCTGAGCTTCGTACATTCGATCATGACGCCCCTGCACGCGCGGACAACTTTCTTGAATTCGAAGTCCACGAGCGGGAGATTCGAGGAAACGAAGATCATGACATGGAACGCCAATCGCTTGGCTTCGCTGGGCACACGTGCGACCAAGCGAACCCCACAGCCTTGCGCTAAGTCGCTAACCTCACACCTGCTTCATTGCAGCGGACTAACAAAAAAAAACCATTCGGTCAAGTCAGCGTCCCAAGGCCAACTCTAACGAGCGTACATCTCCAACCTAACGAAGTTGGTGATCAGGAACCGGGGTTCAAGATCGCAGGCATGACGCCATACGGTATTTGATGCCGTTTGCAATGGTTTTGCCGACATTTGGCGTTTGTATCTTGTAACAGAAATATTCGGCGCATATATCAGACACGCCCCACGCCTGAGCTACACTGTTCTTCGCCTGAATGAAGGTTGTCAATTGCGCCAGCATCTCAATCCTTCGTCCTGCCAGCCCGTCTGACCCGCTTACCTCGCCTTTCTTCTTCCTCATCCACGCCTTCGTCCTCCTGTTGCCCTTTGGTGTACTTGATGCGTGTATCACGGGGATCAATACCCCATTCTTCTAGATCAACCCAGTCCTCGTTGTCACTCATCTCACCCACGTGCCCCTCGGCTCGTGTCCATTTCCACACATCCTGCCTCATCTTCAGCGCCCGCAATAAGCCCCCGTGTAGCTCCTGTAGTTGCCGCACGATCTCCTCTTGTTTGGAGATGTACGTTGTCAAGGCAAGAGTCGTCTCGTCTGCCATGGTCTGGGGCAGACCCATGCGTGGGTCAGGGATGGCTTCGGTAGGGAAGCTGAAGAACGGGTCGACTGGTGGAATGTATGACACGGGCGAGATAGACCGAACAGGTGACGGCGTGCGCGTGGTTTGATTTGCCTGTCGCCTCGTGGTCATGCGGCGCGACGGTGCTGAAGACGCTCCATCCTCTATGCTGCCGTCCTCCGCTAGACCAGCTTCCGACTGACGTGCTGCCGCACCATTGAGAGAGCCGTGTCCTGACGTCGCGCCGTTTGCTAGGGAGTTGTCTGCGCCGTGCAACTCTCCATTGTGCCGCAAGGGTGTGTCCGCATGGTCTGTCCGTTCAATGCTCTCAATTGCTTCGTCCTGGACGACGCCGTCGGTGCCTGCAGAAGGCTGTTCCTGTCGCACTCCCTCAACTGTGGGACCGTCTGATTTTTCGCCTTCATCCATGCCTCCAGCATCTGGGTTTCGTTGAAAGCTGGAGATTGAGTCGCCGTTTGTCGCTGGGTCCTGCGAAAGGGCTGAACCTACCACCAACGTGTCGTCACGCCCTATGGAAGCAAGAAGCTTGTCGCCCTCAGAGTCTCGAAACATACCCATGGGTGCCCATGCCACGTCACCTCGGAAGCCAGTGTAAATGTTCTTAATAGTGTACAGTATGTCCTGTTGTTTGTGAAGCTGTTCCTCCGCATTTCTTATCATTTCTTCCAGTCCACGTTCCTTATACGGTTGTGACAGCGAAGGGTGCGACGGAAGATCCGCAGCCGCAGCGAGCGGAGCGAGAAGATCTGTAAGTCCGCATTAGCTGCTGCGCACGCGCGAGCTGCGCAATCAGGAAAACATACCCTCTAGCTTTATGTCCCGGTAGATGTTCTCGTCGAGTGGCTCATCCTCTTCATCAATGTCTTCCTCGTCCTCGACAATTTCTCCCTCTGGCGTGTAGTACTGAGGGTTGATAGAGATGACATCGCGTTTGTAGCCCGCGTGTTCAATCCGCTACGCAATGTTTATCAGTCCACGTCCCGTACATGCCCAAGCCGCGGCAAAAAATACCACCTACCTTTTGGAAGAGCGTGTTGCTATTGAGCCGGCCGCGTCGCACGTTCTTCGCGTTACGGTTCAGCTTATTTCCTCTGTTGGTTGTGATCGGTTCGTCGTCATCTAAGAAGTACGCTGCATTCGAAGTCAGCGCGCAGAAGGAAATGAGTCCGAGCGATGCTCTCACGGTCATCTTTGCGGTAGTTTTCGCGCTTCACCTTCTCTATGAACTCGGCCAGGATGAGCTGCTGCTGTTGCGCCATTGTGCGCTTTTAGTCGTCTACACGATGTCCGACAATGCGCAACGCTCTGGGACACGTCACGACCAATAATGTACGGAACGCTGGGAGAAGAAGTCAAGACTTGGGCCGAGCCTGTTCGCACCACTGGTGTTGCACACGAGAAAGCATCGGCACCGTCCCCCGTCCAGAGCGTGTGGACGGCGTGTTTTGGCCCCGCGGTGGCCGGGCGGAATCCGGCCAAAACAGGATTAGCGCATCCGCTCACTCCCTTTCTCATCTCGTGCCCGCGATCTCGTTATGCAAAACGTGACCCGTCAACTTAAAACGAATGTTAGCTTAAATAAGCCGACTAACTAAGGTCAACATACCGCGCCAGGCTCGATTAAATAGGTACTTTCCTGGAATCACTGCAATCACCTTTAAGTACCACACCGGCCAAGCAGATACTTCCTCCGGCTCGCTCTCCACAGCCTATTCTCAGCCCACTCTCTTCACCAGCCCCCTTTCATTCTTTTTCTTCAGCAATGAGCAATGTTCCCGAGCATGGAAAGGCTCACTCCTCTGGAAACGGGCTTCGAGGGCTATCCTGCCGACTACGTGACACATAATGTGCCTTTTGTGGTCTTGTCAGGGCTCCAAACCGACGAAGAGGGCGACGGCGCCGAGGTGCCGCTGAGCTTTCGGGATGGCGCTCTGAGAATACGTTGCGAGCTGCCACCAGTCACGGGCGTCCAAGCTAAGCAGGTTCTTGACACATTTCGAAAATTTGAGCGGAGGAATGATCAGTGGGATCCTCGTCCAGTTTTAAGTGGTAGCAACGTTATGGGATTCAAATTCAGGAGCGTCGGGAGAGTGAGGAATATCCTGTCTGGCGCCCTATCGCCTTTTGCTTACTTTGCTTTAGACTTACGAGCTCCTCCCACGCAAAGCCAAACCACCATCACATGAGCTTGGCTACGACCCACCAGGCTCTCCTGCTTCCAGGTCTCCGCCACTATGGGTTCTACACTCTCCCATATCCCCACTTACTCCTGGCTCTTCGCTCTTTCCAGATGGCGTCATGACTCCCGAGTGGCTGGCCAAGCATCAACTGTATATACCTTCCGTGTTTTTGGCCTTCTTCAGCTTCTCTGAGGATCCCGCTAGAAACAGTCTTACAGACAATCAGCTCAAGTCCGAGATCAACAACATCAAAGCTACCCTGTACCGTTCGGAGTACAAGACAAAGCTAGCAATTGTGCTCGTCGGTGATCACAGCATCAACGATGTTTCAGATATCGAGGAGAGGTTAAACAATATCAGACGAGCCACAGGACTGGATGCTAAAACGGGGCTGTTCTTTCTTCCATCGACGGATTCATCAACACAGCTTCTGTCCTTTGTCGATGGAGTGCTTACAGCACTGCAGCCAGGCTGCGTCGAATACTACCGTGATTTAACCAAACATGCCCGACGTAAGAAAGGTCGCGGTAATATTCCTGCGCCCACTGCACCTCCAACCCGCGGAACGTCGCAAACACTTGCCGCGCTCGGTTGGGGTATTCGCTACGACTTTAAGCTTGGCGTCTTCGCAGAATTCAGACAGGAAATGGAGTCAGCGTGTCGACATTATACCGCAGCTCTGGAATCACTACTCGGACCCGACGGCATTTTCGAAACAACTGCTAGTTGGTCTCCAAGATGGGATGAGTCTAGGGTTCTTGCCGACATTGTAGCAATGCGTATCTTGAGGTGTTTGCTGTGGAGTAATCTAACCTCGACTGCAGTACAGTCATGGTCAAATTACCGTTATCGACTTCGAGAACTAGTCGACCGACGTGGAAAGGGCTCATCCAATTATGGCTGGGAGGCGTGGGAGTCTAGGTGGTCGCGTATGATGGCAGAACTAGTGAAACGGGCGCAACTTAGTTTTTTTTCGGGTGGCACAGAAAGAGAAGCAAATGTATATGCTCCAGTTGAAAAATCCATCCCAATTGGCGAACGCATTCGTCCATTCGATCATCTCCACCATTCGGGCTATTGGTACAGGATGGCTGCTAGGCACAGTCGCCGTCGAAGACGACTAGCGATTGAGCTGCCTCAGGACGATTGCATGCCTCCCGGACAATCCCCGGCATCAGTGATGGCCAGCAGATATGGTACATATGATACCTACTTGTGTCCGGAGCCGTGGCAAGAACGCCCGAACTCTGAACGGCGTACGTACAATCACTCTAAAGACATTTTCAACGCTTTGGAGAAGGCTCAAGGTCACTTTCGCTTTCAGCCACGTGTACGGGAAGAGCTTTGTCTTGATATGGCGCGGGAACTCATCCGTAATAAGCAGTATTCGGAGGCAATGAAGCTACTCTTCCGTCTATGGATTAACATGTCTTGGAGAAAAGATCAATGGTGGGACCTCGTCTCCGAGGTTACTCGTAACTTACATGATTGTGCAAAGCAATTGGGCGATGCAAAAGTTGTTGCGGCAACAGAGTTTGAGCTCTTAAGCTGTGCCCTTTCTCCGCTCAAAAATCACACATATAACTTGTTGCGATGTTGCGAGAACTTGACTCACCGTTCCAGTGAGTCTCTGATCCCGGAAGATGTTTTAGAGCTAGACACGCAAAGCGTTACCGCTCCGTTATCAACAACCTTCACATTTTCCGTTGCTGAGGGCAATGCAGGCGAGCCTCTATCCGCTCAGCTAGTGGTTGTATCGCTAGCACAGGCAGGAAGTGCTCCGATTTTATTTGATGCCATTGATGTCAAATTTAGTGGTGCTTCGTTTTCATTGAGATTAAAGCACATTGAAAAGCCGGAGTTCAAACATGGCCAGGTTCAGGAGCTTTCTGTCGAAGGACTGGATGAATCCATCAGGATAGCCGAAGCTAATTTGGAATTGCCAGAAGGGCAGACTCTCGGCTTTCAGTTTCCACTCACCTTTAGGGATGCCAGTCTAGTATCCGTTGGGAGTATTACTTTTACGATATCCACTCCCGTTGCCCAGATTCGGTTCAGCTCGATACCGGAAACACTAGCAGAACGTCCCAGATGGTTAAAGACAGGACCGCGTGGCTTCATCTCCATGCCAGTCGCCCGAGAAGATAGTCACACTGTGCACATATTGCCCAGGCCTCCCAAGATGGAAATAAAAGTTTCCAATACTGAGCCACACTTTTACACTGATGAAGAAGTCCAATTAGAGATTGAGTTGATTAATGGCGAGGACGAGGCTTCGGAAGTACATCTGCAGATGACCTTACTATCAGACGATGGTCCAGCTTCATTCCAGTGGCGAATGAAAGAAAATGGCAGCACCCACTTGTCGAGCGCGAATGAGAATCTCCTGGAACTCGGTGTGATCAATCCTGCAGAGAAGAAGTCAACAGAAATTTCATTCATTGCTCCTGCTTTGCCCACTCGGTATGCCGTCGAAGTCAAGGTTACATATTACCTACAATCGGATGCTACTACACCAATATCCAAGAATCTCAACTTTGAGTTCAATGTAACACGCGCCTTCGAAGCGAATTATGAGTTTCAGCCAAGAATACATCCCCTTCCATGGCCATCGTTCTTCAATCCCACGAACATTCCGGTAGAGGTTCCAGAGGGCAGCACAAGACACGGTATCGCTCAGCGTTGGGAGCTATTCTCACGCATTGCTAGCTTCACATACGAAGGTGTTATCATTTCAAAGGTGGACTTACGGTTAGAAAGCATATCTAGCCACGCTATGGCCATTATAACACCAAATCACCACGAAGCAGACGAAATTGAAATAGCTCCACAGCAACAGATCGATCGATCGTTCAGCCTGGACGTAGAAAAAAATTCTCTTGACGACAGGCGGGCCGTCGAGATTGAGCTAGTGCTAGCTATATCATGGCATCGTCCACGCTCGGGCAAGATTTTTACGAGCCATCTTCCTGTGAACAACTTTGTTTTGGAAAATGGTCCGAGAGTTTTGGCTGCTGTATCGTACCCATCACTACCCATGAGAAAAGTAGAGGATGACGAAGCCGAGGACGAAGATTCCCTTCAAATTGTACAGCTTACGTTTATGCTCGAGAATCCAACCAATCACTTCTTGACATTTGAAATCAGTATGGAAGGTCCTCGAACAGACGCAGAGTGGGCGCTTAGTGGTGTGAAGATGGGTGGTTTGAATTTACTACCGCTGAGTCGAGAAGAGGTGAGCTACAGGATTATGCCGCTAAGTACGAATGATGGCGAAATGTCAGAGGGGAGATGGCTTGAAGTACGACTTAGAGTTATGGACGTGTATTTCAGAAAGGTTTTACGCTGCATCCCTGCGAGTGCCGGAATTCGAGAAGCTGAGGGAAAGAGTGGGAGCTTGCTTGTGTGGACTGGCCGGAAGCATGACTGAATCGAAGAGAAAGGTTTTCATAAATAGACGTCATTGCTTGCAACGTTCGCCAATAGTAGATGTTTTTCTCAGCTTCTGGGCATCCAAACGGCATGGCAACATATACATTGTAAACTGAATTCTCTGCAAGAGTCCAACTATGGCAAGCACATGATTTTAAAGGAAAATTTAGACCTTGATTTTAACAGCGCATCTCAACCTGAAGGTCTCGTTTATCCGAGGAGACGATTTCGATTCAAATAATTTGCAATGAAGAAGACAAAAAAATCTACTTTTGTCCTGCAGAAGCGTTTTTAGTATGGTCGCAACGGCAGCATTAACAGGAAATGGATTGGACCTTGGACCTTGTAATGACTGCTCCTCGAAGGACCTGGGCAACGGGCGAGCCGGCTCCCATCTCTCCACAACTCTACTCCGCACACCGAAACCGGCCGATGTGAAGAATCGTGGATTAAACACCTTGTTTGGCCAATAGTAGCATACTCGTTATTGGCCAATGTCAGTAACCGGCGCGCATCAGCGTTCCGACGACGTTCTTGCATCGGCAGAGAGCCGATCAATGTGGGGCCGACATAGGCGGCCTTTATTTCACGGCGAGGCATGAAAGCGTTGCTAGTTATACGTTCCTAGTCCAGGTTAATTTTCTGTTTCCAATTAAGAGCCAAATAGTTCAGGCACTGCCCCTTTTTTTTATTGCTACTGCTCATTGTTTGTGCTCTCTGCTTGCCTCATCATCGAACATGGCGCCAAGATATCTGAAGCGCGGCGAGGCTGCGTCCAAGTCGTCAGACGGACCAACCATTGATGTCGCCAGCATTGTCAAAGGTGTAATCGATGACATTCGGGCCAATGGAGACGCTGCAGTCCGCAAGTATTCGGAAAAATTCGACAAGTGGAGTCCCGAAGCGTTCAAGCTGTCGAAAGAACAAATAGACGCAGCTATCGCGGCGGTACCCAAGCAGACTGTGGAAGACATCAAGCAAGTTCAGGCCAACGTCAGAAAATTTGCACAGGCACAAAGAGATTCTTTGAAAGATTTTGAGCTGGAGACCCAGCCGGTGAGCTGTTCCAAGATGACCTGATCTTACTATTCTGATTATCGAAAATCAGGGCGTTTTCCTAGGCCAGAAGAATGTTCCCATATCTGTGGCCGGGGCTTACATCCCAGGCGGCCGTTACCCACTGCTGGCATCAGCTCATATGACTATTCTGACGGCGAAAGTTGCAGGTGTCCCACACGTCATTGCGGCCACACCACCTATTGGCGGGAAGATTCCGAACGCAACAGTCGCGGCCATGCACTACGCCGGAGCAGACGAGATATTCATCCTCGGTGGCGTACAGGCCATTGCTGCAATGGCTGTCGGCACGGAGACGATTCGAAAGGTTGATTTTATCGCTGGTCCTGGCAATGCCTTTGTGGCTGAAGGCAAGCGACAGCTTTTCGGAGAGATTGGTATTGACCTGTTCGCGGGTCCGACGGAGATCCTCATCGTCACAGACGAAACGGCGGACCCGTTCACGGTTGCAACAGACATTCTGTCGCAGGCGGAGCATGGCCCGGATTCCCCAGCCGTGATTTTGACAACGTCGGAGAGCGTTGCGAGAGAGTCGATGAGAATAATCGACCAGCTGTTGAAAGAGCTTCCAACTGCACCTCTTGCCGGCACTTCGTGGAGAGATTATGGCGAGGTCGTGATAGCCGAATCGGAGGACGAGCTATGGAGTCTAGCAGACGAGTACGCAAGCGAGCATGTCCAAATATTTACCAAAAACCCTAGAGATGCTCTAGTCAAGATGTCGGCCTATGGCGCACTGTTCCTGGGTGAGAAGACTTGCGTTTCCTATGGTGACAAGGTATGTCCCTGATGCTTTTTTTAACATTTTTCTCAATACAAGGGAGGTGGGGCTAATTTTCGCTCAGGTCATCGGGACGAACCATGTGCTGCCAACTAGAAAGGCTGCTCGGTATACTGGAGGCCTTTGGGTAGGAAAATTTCTCCGCACATGCACGTATCAAGAAGTTCGGGATCCCAAAGCCAGTGGTGAATTAGGACGTCTTTGTGGAAGAGCAGCGAGAGCGGAGAACTTCGAAGGCCATGCTCGATCAGGAGATTTGCGCGCTCAGAAATATCTTAAGGACAATTATGACTGGATCGGCAACTGCGAAAATGCGTTGAATCAAGCAAAGATATAGGTAGTCAATGACAGTTTGGCCAGCGTCCGTCGTCAAAAAGATTGCTTCGAATTGTAGCCCCAAAGTCATTTATCAGTAACATTGATTCAAAGCAGATGTGGAGAAGCGTTTGAGGTTATCTCAGCTCCAAGTCTCCTCGTAAACGTCTCATTTCACCTGCTGGTCCATTTTACATAAATTACCAAAGTTGGACAGCCAGAACAACACGGCGTAAAGAATCCCCAATCATGGACATAACTGGTACTGACAATTTAAGCATGATTTCAAGGCACAGTGGATTTCGAGTCAGCAGAACACGCCTTGCAAAGAGCGGAGTGATCGAGATCGATGGCAGCGAAGAGGATATTGCTTCTTAGCCAGTCCAGAGACACTGGAGGCTCTCGCTAGAAGATGTTTAGTAATACGCACGATCTGCGCAATGCAAGGTGTGTACCCTTTTTTGCTCTTTTGCTTCAAGAGATTCAACAAAGGTATTCCGTGCATCCAAGTGGGACATCTTGCTTTTACATCGAACCCGCAGAAAACCCGGTCCAGCTGCGATAAATGCTTTCGTTCTCATCAAAAGAACTTGACACCCTTCGCCTCGCCCTCCCCAAAAATCTGTGCCTTTCCTCTCTTGACCAGTACCGCCAGACTCTTGTTCATGACTTCGGGATCCAAATCATGCAGGTCTGAGCCTCTGGTAGAGTCGCCCTGGCTGAGCTCGTACACAGTGAGCACGCTGCCTTTCTGGCCTGTGCCCTCAATCCACTGATAGATCACGTCTGCCCACTCCTCAGGCTTACGCCACCACACCCACGCCCTGCTCTTGGTCTTGTCGGTCCATTCTGCCCTGTTTCCGCCTTCGGAGCTGGCCATGTACTCTAGCACAGCCCGGATGTCGGGAATGGCGAGCTTGCGGTTTATGCTGGCATTCGTGAACAGCGGCGTGTTGAAAGACTCGACGATAGAGAGCTGGAAGATGCGGTGATGACGACAGTAGGTGAGGATGAGTGTTTCCCAAGACGCAAGCTGGGAAGACCGCGTCAGAGGGTTGGGCTGAAGGGTGAAGAAAGGCGGGAACGAGTAGTGGGGTGGAAAGACGAAGTCGGCAGATTGCTGGGCTGAAGCGTGAGTGGTCCCTGAGAGTTCGGACGCGGACGAAGACATGGTTCAGCGTCTGTAGTAGCGGATAGAGCAAACTGAGGGCTACGAGTACATGATGCGTTAACGTTAAGCGACTCCCAACGGCGTTCGCCACCGTCGCAAGGCGGCACCAGGCGTTGTTCTTGGTGTGGGAAGATCTCCTGTTACGGGGACAGCGCGTGGTCCCGAAAGAGAAAGACGTGGTCGGAGCTTTTCTGACTTTCACCTTTGCGCATTCAGCCCGGATTCTTTCCCTTCGTCATACCTCACCTGCCTAACCCACACCATTGCCATCATGAAGGCGCATCAGCTCAGGCTCCTCCGGAGTCTGGCCTTCGACTCTCAGCCGCGGCGATGTGCCAATTGCGCTCAACGCATCCGTCAGTTCCACGCGATGGGTCCATTGCTGCAAGAACAACAAGCACAGCGCGAGACAGCAGCATCCCCCGCCGAAGAAAAACCACGCGCACCGGCTCCATCTCAGATCATTCACCGCCCAACTGGCAAGTTGCCAACGTCGCCTGGCGAGCACTGGAAACATCCGGGCTACATCGAACCGCTTGGCCGGCCCATCGGCCACGACGCGCCTCCTCAATTCCACGACAACGCCCCCATCGATATGCGCGACTTCCAGCAGCGTTACAGGGATTTTGTCAGCAAGGAGCGCAATCTTGAAAAGCGCGAGAAGCTGAAGAGCCAGCTTTCTCGGCCATATTTCCGCGACTGGAGCAACCTCAAGTTTGAGAAAGGCAAGCTATGGTTGGGAAATGAGAAGCTGTGGCGGTCGGATATGAGCCTGTGGATGCCGAATTTGGTGGGAAGGACGCTGAGTGGTGAGGCCTACAAGGCGACGACCGAAGTGTTAAAGGGCAAGATCAGCCTGCTGGCAGTGTTCCAGAGAGACTGGGCGCAAAAGCAGGCCGAGACGTGGTTCTCGCCCAACCACAACGCCAAGGTTGCAAATCTGATTGAAGACGGAAGATTGAACTTGGTACAAGTCAATGTTGAAGATGCACCATTAGCCAGAGCGGTGCAGAACATGTTTCATTGGTTTATGCGCAGGAGCATGGACAAAAGGAGACAGGAAAACTACTTCTTCATCAAACAAGTCCCGGACAGCGTTGTCGAGGAGATTGGTATTTTGAATTCGAGAGTAGGCTATGTTTATCTGGTAGACCAGGATTGCAGAATCAGATGGGCGGGTTGCGCCGAAGCCAACGAGAGAGAAAAAGAAGCGTTGTTCAAGGGAGCAGAGACCTTAATCAGGAGGCTGGAACAGTCGAAGTCAACGGCCGGTCAATGAGATTCAAAGTCTCTGTCTTGACGTTTGGGTCTCTGGCCTATTCTCTGCTCGAGACGGGCTCACCGAGCAGCTTAAATGCATCACACAGGCGCTGCATTAGATAAACTTAGGCAGGACACGAAGGGCCATCTCATTGCTCAGGCGGTCCGACCCACGACGAAAAAATAAATTGCCGAACCTATCGAGTTTGGCCTCAAATCATAACTGAGCCTCATGCATAAGTCATGTACCTTCATCTCCGAGCTCCCATTTGTCGTCCCATAAAATCTCCTGGCTCATTGCAAGGTTCAAAAGCCAGTCTGGCTTGCAAATGACCGGTATCATATCCGCCTTCTCCGCCATCAGTCTGAATTTAGGCCACAATGCTCGCTCTACCGGACTCTCCCCGCTCAGCATGTATAGTGTCTCCTTGGTTTCTTCTTGGCTCTCCACGTCCTTACGCTTCCTAACCTGCATCTGCGTGCGACCCTGATATCTCAAACATGCCCCGCCGTTCGCTTCGATAATTTGTTTAAACGTTTCGAACCCGCCACGAACCTGCTCGGTACAGAAGATCTGCCATGTATCGAGTAGTTTGTGCTTATTGGCTTCTGCTCGCTCCAGGGCATCAGCGAGTCTAAAGCCAAGGCGGTCCTCAGTTTCTCGATCCTGAAGGAGGTACTGCTCGGGATCTGGCACCTTTTTGTTCTTGATGCAATAATCCAGAAACGACGAAGATACCACATAAGGCGCATTGGCTATCGAGCATACGAATTTTGGGGTGCGCAAAATTTTCGGCGCACAGAGAATATCAGCCTTTGATGTATCATCGGTAAGGTGAATACCTAGATTGCGTAAAATATTCCTGCGAAGACCGTCAGCGAGTTCATGAGCACCTATCGATTTTGAACACGTGCAAATCCAGGCCGACAAATTTCATGAATCTAGAGAGCTCACCTTTCGCTAGCCTCGGCCTTGGGATTTTCTTGCCAGCGCGTATAGCTCGTCAGCACCAACTTATAAGTCACTTGTTCAGACTTTGCACGCTTGCCCACACGCGCAATCGTACAGGATTCTCCACCGTCCGATGTGGCAGCCTCATCCTCGAGTTCTGTTGATTGTCGCTTTTTGCCACGAGGTGCAAGTTCCTCCGTATCAAGACTTCGACGCTCCTTACCATGGATTACGCCTCCTTTTCGCTTCTTTTCTCGCTCATACCTGGGTTCTTTCAGCTCAATAGTCTAAAGTTATCAGAGAGGGAGGAACACGTACTGCGCAATATCAGCAGCATTTTCATGAATCCTGGACATAGCTTTATCCTTTGCACCTCTAGACGCTGGAGTCGTGCCGTTGATTGAGCCTTGCTTGTAAGGAGTGGTGATCTCGTCCATGCTTGAACGTCGTTCGTGGCTATTCCTGACACCATCCTTGCGCTTCTTTTTTTTGTCATATGGAGCCACATCAGCGGCCAACTCGTGAAGATTAGACTTTGCAGGACCGTTTGCACCACGTGAGCAAGGAGTCATATTCTCTTTGCCGGGATCGATGAACCTAAACAATGGTGAGCAAGGATTCAATGTGGCTTTCACAGCAGCGTGCAGACACGAAAACATACGTGCCCCGTTTTTGATTTTACATTTAAAAGGAGATTCAACTTACTTGGGCAGGACTGGTGTTGATTGGGCATCGTTGTCTCCGCGCTTACTCTTCCTTGCACTTGTTCGATTTTGATTATTCACACGTTGCTCAACTTCATCATCCGATTCTTGAGCTCTTTTCCGCGTTTGCTTGGGCCGTGGATAAAAATTTTTCTCAAGTACAGTACGGTCCAATTGTGTCTGACCAATTACCTCGCCAAGATTAATGCGCTCCGGAAAATGCGTGTATCGCTTGACTGATAGGCTCTGCACTTGATATCTGGCATAGCTTTCTTCAATCCACAAATGATTTATAACGTTGATGTTCCAATCCTTGGCTGCCTCACATTTCTCACTCTTTTCATGGGCTGTGATAAGGTGTGTATTGTTCTGGTGCATGGTCTTGGTGAATTCGGCTCCACAAGCTTTGACAAGATTTTCAAGATATGCACGAGCTTCTCCAGAGTAGTTCGAGACACTAATAATATACTTCTCAAAGCCTGGGACGCCGTTGCGTGGAACAGGATAGTGCAACAGCCTTCTCAACGGGGAAGTCCAGCGGTTGGTCGTAATCAAAAAGTACAGCCACGCAAGATTTCCGACATCCATGCCGTGTTGACTGGCGTAGACGTAGTCGTCACCTTCACGGTATCGACACACGTATGTATCTGCCATTTCAATCTTGTTGGCGACGGCACCACCGCCAGACGAGATCAGATCTGACAGGGTCTTCTGCAGCTCAGGACCAAGTCCCAAGTCACTCGAGAGCATGACACTCTTCTTATGAAACACATCTAATTGGCGAGGCCCATCGCTGCTAGGAGAAGGGGAAGGTAATTGATTAATGGGATGTGGAGACGCCGCTCCAACGACATCGCGGCTGATGCGCTGAGCAGGAGGTTTCTCCTGTTTACGTAGAACCTCCGGATTGGGAAGCAGATACGGCGTCTCCGATATGCGCTTGCCAAGCCTCAGGCAATCGTCAAACCAGTGTGGAAGAACAATCTTGCAACTCAAATTTTTCAGCACAGCCCTCTGGCAGCGTTCGTCGTCTATTGATAGTGCAATCAAGTGCGTGGTCAGCTTGGACAAGTTCTCTGAAAAGAGGCCGCCCATGGCCAGACATCCACCAGCAATCGCTTCCTTGTCTCCCTCCGGAATATCTGCGCAGCACATGACCACGTCGCTCATAATTAGCTTTGGGTCGGGGCTGAATTGGCGAGGATTGCTCTGCTTGCCCTTGTCGAGGCTGTGTTTGATCCACGAAGGCTTCACGACATGAATGTAGCGATCAAGCGCGTCGTCGTATTGGGGAAAGTCGGACGTTGCCGCGATGATATGCGTGATTTCGTTCAGAGGCTCGACAGTATTTGTAGACGCGTTGAACGGAATCAACTGTGCGCCGTTGTCCTTGAGACTGCGCTCGGCCTAGGCGACATAGTACACATTAGTCACGGGATCATTGTGCAACCAGACGACCGACAAACAAGAGCTCGAGGCACACGGTTGTTCCTGCAAGATGGGCGCTGCACACGCATACCTTAAGACGAGCATCCTCGCTGAAATCCGGAGATGGAACGATGGTAAAGAAGACGTCATGGAACAGCGGCAAACTGTCGAACGGGTTCGTCTCATCCACATCCATGGCACGGGCGACATGAGCCATGACTGTGGTGATGATGAGAAAGGCACAAAGATGAGAACTGTGGTGGGGAGAATTCAACGGTTCGTGTCGTGTGTCATTGAAGAGTGAAGCGACGCGATGGGCGCCAACCGCGCTAACTTGGCGCGATCGGGAACGCGCTTAAGCGACAAGGACAAGGGCTGGTTCTGTCGCGACAGCACGTGACTGCCCTCGCTTCCGCAGCCGTCGACCGCTCGCCATGTCATCCTCACACAGGCTCGCATTCGCCCTCATTTATCACGCACATAGTGGTCATCTTACAGCTCAGACATGGCGTCCTAGATCTCGATCCTTTTCACCCATCGTCTTAGTTTATTTGCTGGTTGATCGCGACATAAATCTGCCATCATGAACGAAGTACAGCTTGCAGCTCTATGTCAATTATCGATGCGTATTGACAGTATATACTACTTAGAAGTAATATCCACCTCCTTTCTTCAAGCTTAGCAACGTCTCTTTGCCAATTTTCTCGTCTTGATTTTTTTTTTTCCGGCAATTCCTACAGTTCCAAATTCAGCTGTGGCGCACTCGATAAAGTGACATTTGCTCCCTCACCCGCACCGCTGGACCTCGGCATCCCGCCAATTGCGTTGCCGACACAATTTGGCCAAGAATCCAGCAGCGTCGTTATCCTCTCGCCCATCGACTGCCCGCAGAAACTATACAAAGATAGACCTTCTGATACTTCTTGGCGAGCTCATTGTTGTTTTCAACGCGGAAAAGAAATAGGTTTGGAATTGCCGATCCGAGGTGCCGCTTGGGTAACTGTTCTTCGCTGCGGCAAATATACTTCTCGAGACATTTCAGACAGGGTGTCCGCAACGACCGCAAAAGGATGTCAACTTCACATTTTCACATACAGGAACACAAAGTGCCTTGTCAGCACATACGAAGCTATCCATATGCAACACTTCACTACGATGAAGAAGTGCTTCATTTGGCCGTGAAACAATATACCCCCCTCAACAACCCCAACCCGCAACGAGGAGATGTCACTATAATTGGCGCTCACGCCAACGGTTTTCCTAAAGTCAGTTTTGTTTTGTCAACGAATTTTCTGTCCACGTTACTAAGAAGCGGAAGGAATTGTACGAGCCTTTGTGGGATGAGTTGCTCCAACGTTCTGAAAAGCAAGGCTGGCGGATACGTGGCATATGGATTGCCGACGTTGCTTTTCAAGGCTGGAGCGGTGTCTTGAATGAAGATAAGCTTGGGTGCAACCGTAAGTCAGCATACTGACGCGAGGCAAAAAAATTTTTTTTCTGTGTTCATATTCATTGACATCATTATCAGCGGGCTGGTATGATCATCCACGGGATCTTCTTCATTTAATCAACACATTCCGAGATCAGATGCCAAGACCCATCGTCGGCATAGGTCATAGCATGGGAGGAAATACCCTTATCAATCTCTCTTTAATGCATCCTCGCTTGATAGAGACTCTTGTCCTAATAGATCCAGTCATCTCGCGGGCGCCTTCAAGATCTGGGAACTGGGGCGTTGCAGCCGCATCATTTACGCGAAGAGATCGCTGGCCTTCTCGTAGAGCTGCGGAAGAGTCTTTCAAACGTAGCAAGTTTTACCAGGTTTGGGACCCCCGCGTTCTCGAGCGTTGGATCAAATACGGATTGCGTGAATTGCCCACAAAGCTGTATCCGGATCCAGACCCAAAATCCGCCGCAACAGGAAGCACAGTCACACCAGAACCGACGGTGACACCGAATGTGACTACTAATGAGGAGGAGAAAGAAGTCACGCTTACGACAACGAAGCATCAAGAAGTATTCAGCTTCATGCGTACCTACCACCCAGCTCGTCCAGGTGAGCCGCGAGATAAAGTGCTACACCCAGAGTTGCCCCTGTATCCAGACATGGGATCTCCGGAGCCTTTCTACAGGCCTGAGCCCACAATCACATTCCATATGCTACCATTCCTTCGACCGACTGTGCTATATGTCTTTGGTGAGCACTCAGACCTATCAGCGCCTGAGGCACGGAAGGATAAAATGGAAATTACAGGCACGGGTGTCGGCGGAAGCGGTGGAGTTAAAGAAGGCAAAGTCGAGGAGGTCATAATCAAAGACACTGGCCATCTGATTGCGATGGAGAAAGTGAATGAAACGGCCACTATAGGTGCCGAGTGGATTGGGAAGCGAATCGAAGAATGGCGGCAGGATGAGGAGACACTTAAAAGATACTGGGACAGTCTTCCGGAAAGGGCCAAGTTCACCATGGGCCCAGAATACGAAGAAGGCTTCAAGAAATTGGGAATGACTAGACTGCCCAAGCAGGGCAACTCGCAGCCTGCAAAGTTGTAGATGTGTCTGCCTGGAATAAAGACAGTCTCCGTGGGGCAAGGCGTAGACCGACTGAATAGAGCAGAAGAAGACATCTATATTGCATCAGCTTTAGATGACCGTATTCCGGTGGTGTGTGAAATCGGTCAGGATGCTGCGTGATGCGTTCGCCAGCGAAATATACACTGTTATGAGTAAGCACATGTCCAGCTTTTTATTCTTTTCGTTTTGTCTTTCCGTCGGCCACAGAACAGACGACTATGACGACGAAGTTAACCCCCTCGAATGATCTTAAAGATACTCTATGTCCGCAATACCGTTATAAGGGTCTCATGTCATTACGTGAGTCTTTCATACACACTTCTTAGGCCAAGGATTTACACTTTGATATTTCATACTGTTCAGATTCAGTAGAATTCTTTTCTTGAGGACGGGGGTATATTGATCACGGGGTTCAAAACATACCGTCAAGAAAATCTGCCGCCACCAATAGCTCAAGGCATATCTCGGGAGGGATCTCCATGTCTGGCACGTCTCGTGCATCTTTGTTCTTTTCGTGGTAGTAGAGGTACTCGCATACTTTCTCGAGGCAAACTCCGCTGTGGTCCGCGATCAGGTCAAAGTTAGAGGAGCCACATATGTTCAACGAAGGCCTTACCTGATTGACTCAAGGTAGCATCGATTCTCTATCGACTCTTGGAATCCATCTATGAGATGTTAGAATTGGACATCACCTACAATACCTACGCGTCAGCATACTTGCGGGGTCCAACATTCGATTCAAAGTTTTGGCAATGCAAGCAGCAGAGCGGCGGATGATAAATTCAAAGCCATCGCATGAGACAAGCGTCACGTACTCCGACACTTTCTTTTCTGACATTTTATCGATAGAGGCATGTGTTATTGCCTGCGACTTCGAGTCGCCAACATTCGACGTTCTTGAAATTTCGGGTTGCAAAGAGAACACGTTCCGGTCACGTGAGGAGGCGTTTTGGCGCTAGCTGTCGCAAGTCACGTGAGCCTGACTCAGCAGATATTCTGGGGCTTATTGTTGCATGTGAGTGCCTAGCTAAGCTAAGCCATGCGAAGGAATCGCTGTTGTGCAGCGTACAAGAAGGAAAAAGGAAGAGATTATTGTGCGAAATATTGCATTGATTGCATAGTAGATTAGATTATTAGTTATTAGGTTTTAATCCTAAAGCAACTTATAGATAAGTGTTAGGAATACTTTCCCTATACCGACTGGCTTCACCGATGTAAGCCACTTCGGAAGGGGTTAGCTTCCTAGAGCAAGGGAACAATGTATAACTAGAGCTTATTAAGGAAGGAATATAATAAGATAGTTATGTTTGTGACTTAGAACGGTATGAGCTTCAGAAGTATGAG